TGATTAAGTGGACAATGTTTGACAACAACAACAAGTTTTTCTCTGCTTAATGAATCATGACATAAATCTGACAGGCAACCAGTTAACAGATCAAATATTCACATATGCTTGAGATGAAGGTTGGTTTTAAACAGTTTAATGTTTAACAGCTTTGCTAATGACTCATAATTGTATCCTAATTTACTGTAGTTAGTTTATGTTATAATGAAGGGCCTACTACTCTTTCTCACATGGATGAGCTGACAACCTAATGGTTAATGGCGCTGCAGCACATCGTTGTTAATGACAATCACTCACAAATGTGCATTTAACAACTTACACTATGTCATGCCGTTATATAGTAATGTTGTACAACAGCTCTGAAATTCTTTCTTATTATTTTGTTTGCGCACAATCGATGAAAACTTAAGGAAGTAGCAAGCTAACATTAACTGTGAAGGCTGCTACTCGGGTCAATAATAGTTAGCTAGACCATTACGTAAATTGGTAAACGATTTATTCTAGGCTACTAAAATGAACCCCAAAACTTAACAGGAGCGGTTAAGAATTGTAATTGTAAAGTATTGCAATTTATGCTAAAAAATGATGGAAAGGTGGCGACCTACATGTTTCTCACCTTGACCTTCTTCTTTGTATCTGGATCAATTTTCTATTTTGATCTCAACAACTCTGTGCAAATTACTGAGTAGGCACCAATCAGAGGCAATGTTTTTATAATGTCATCACGTAGAAGTATTGTACAGTATTGTGTTTTTAAACTAAAAAATATAAAACACTAAACTATTTTTAAACAAATGATATACGCAATATATATGTATATATATATATACACAGAGCTGTGTCCTCAACTAGAATCGCATAGTAGTTAGTTAACCAAAACATAATCATAAAAGCATAAATAATGATCTATACCCTGAAAAGATCATTGTTCCTTCCACAGCATTAATATAAGAATCCATCAAAGGAAAACATGTCTACAATGTTTTACAAACTTTAGTGTGGCCCTGTTATAAGCTAAGTATGCACTATTTGTTGCATAATGTAAGAACACATGTTGTTATTGACATAATACAGACATATGTTGATAAAATTGAATTAAACTAAAACATAATTAAATTGTCTGGCTATGAAAAGACCAGTGGACACACCAAAACAGCCAGAAACAGCCCTGATGTGCACACCACTACACAAAGTACTGTTGGTCTGTAAACTGTCAGCAACGTTTAAATGTTTAATGAAACAGCCTGGGTAGAAATCTTATGGTTCGCCTTTGTTAAATTTGGCCACTCTGGGGGTTTGTTGAAATCTGTATGATTAACCTAATGAGTCAGGTGTTGTCATCAGTAGCAATGATGGCCAAAATATGAAAATGAGACCCCATTTGTCAGAAATCACAATTATTCTTTTATTTGTTTCAAAGGGACAGGTGTGCAGGGAAGTGCAAGGTCAGGAGACTGGCAAAAGCGGGAAACTCGCTGAGGGCAACTAGTGGAGAGATGGGGAATGACAGCATCCACAAAGAATAGAGGGACTAAGGTGAGGAAGAAAGACAGGGAAGGCGTCCCAGTGACAGTATCTATAAGTCCAATTTGTCAGAGACATTTGTTTTAGATAATTCATGGTCTTAAGAACAATCCACTTCTCCCTCCACAACAGCTGATGAAATGTGTTTGGGCAATTTGCAATAGTTCTTAATTGCTCCTGATCTGATCTGTTACCAATTGAATACAGAAGTAAAATGGAAAGCACACAGAAAATACATTAAATTAAATAGTCTCATATGCACGAATCAATATTTTAATATTAACAATATATCAAATGACTATGTAATTTGAGAGGTGTCTTGTAGCAATAAACCGACTCTTCAGTTCCCCTCAGCACTACAAAGTCTTTTTGTGTATTTCATTGTTTTGGTTTTGTGGCCCACAACTTTATTGTTTGATTCACTGTCATTGCTCTCATTACCCTCAATTTTAGCCCTAGCAGGCATCTTTTCTGAATAAAGAAGAAATTACCATATTGTATGCAAAGAAACAAGTTTATATTTTTGTACTTTGTGTACTTTAATAGTTTATTTTGGAAAATATATTTTTATAAACAGTTTTCGTCAAAAGATAAGAAGGTTGGTATGACTCTCATGTCTGTAAGCTAAATATGGAATTATAGCCTCCATGTGATTAGCTAAACTCTGGTCAAAACAGCCAAAAAGTATATGTCCCAACATGTTGAACTAATTTACTTTTAATAATAATAATAATAATTATAATAATAATAATAAAAGGTTGTTAAGACATTTTTTTCTGTTTAGTATTTGACATAATAAGCTTAAATAGTATCACAATGAATGGGATCACTGGGGTATCACAATGGATGTGCATTTTAACACACATTGGTCACACATGGCTTACATTTGGAAAATCCAAGGGGATTCGCTCCGTTTACATTATGGGTCATATGTTGTGAGACCAATTAAACATTCCTTTTTCACAGCTAACACACAAACTATGTTCTTGGTCTGTTGCCCCCAATTTCTCCTACAGGGCTCTTCCATCGCAACTCCCTAATACCCACACAACATTTAAGAGCACCGGGGGGGGGGGGGGGGCACACAGCTCATATCTCCTCCCCGTCTTCCCCCTCCCAGGCAGGGTGATGATCTGTAAAGAGAATCATTAAGATGCAATTTGTGACTGCAACGTTCGTGCACACGTTGCCTGGAGAAGACTATTCATCACCAGCAGCCCCCATTCCTCACTGTGAAAACAAATGACGCAGACGCTTCCTGCTTGACTGCATGACCTCTGGCCTCCAAGATGTGTGTGCCTCAATGTGCCCACATGAACATACACACTCAGAAATATGTGGACTGGTTGGTGATAGGCACCATCCAGTCCATGGATGGATTTTGAAACAATGGATCCCTGGCCAGAGACACGTGCTCCCCACCCTGCCTACATGGGAGCACTGTTTGTAGTTGTTTGAGGGTCTAGGCTGTAATCGCTTTGTCTCTTTGTAGTAATCTCTTAGTCGTTTTGTCTCATTATGGTTGGTTTGCGACTGTCTAGTGATTTTGCTCCTCTTTGTGGTTGTTGTGTCTCGTTGTAGTCGTTTTGCATCTCTTTGTGGTTGTTGTGGCTCCTTGTAGTCGTTTTGCATCTCTTTGTGGTTGTTGTAGCTCCTTGTAGTCGTTTTGCATCTCTTTGTGGTTGTTGTGTCTCTTTGTAGTCATTTCGCATCTCTTTGTGGTCTTTTTGTGACTGTGTAATCATTGTGCATCTCTTTGTGGTTGTTGTGTCTCTTTGTAGTCGTTTTGCATCTCGCTGTAGATGTTTTGACTCTTTGTCTGTTTGTGTCTCTTTGTACTTGATTTACTTTCCATAAAGAAATGTCAACAGTCACTTCAGAGACCCTACCTATGCTCAAAAGGCCTGCTCAGTAATCCATCTATGGTCCAATCAGAGGTTTGATCCCCAGCAGACCCCGCACCCACTTAAACAACCTTGAGAGGCTTCCTTTTCAGGCCTGCTGCTGTTTTTGACCTCCATTATGAAAGTCATTCATGTTTAATATATTCAAAAATGCAATTACCTAATTATACTTTGTGCATAATGAGGAGAAAGAATGAAAAGGGGTGTAATAAAGGACCAGTGTGACCATTTCAGGAAAGATAATTCATGCTTTCTGCTTGTTGACCCTCCTTTCTATTTCACCACAATAACTCCAGCCCCCACCCAAATAACAGATAATTGCTCAAGATGTGCAGCAGAGAGATCTCGGTGTTAAGAGGCAGTGCTCTCTCTGCTTGTCTTTGATGAAGGGTCCTTCTGCTGAAAATGTAATTCCTCCGTCCTCATGGATGTTTTCATTGTATTCTACAGCTTCGGCTTACAACGCCCAGCTCTGCAACCTCTTCCACTATGTTCCTATGGTAACTACCCAGTGTGTGTGTCTGGGAGATGAGTGATTGTCTGTGTTTGTGTGTGTTCATTATGGCAGCGGGGCTTATTTTTACATAATGAATCAATTACAGGGGCTGCGGAGCGAGCTCATTTGAATAATCGCAGAAAACGCTTCCACACAACATGATTTTACTTAGCATCCTTACACATCTCATGTACAGATCAGTATTTCCCTTGGAGAAGGTACAACGCTGTGTGTGTTTGTGTGGAGGAGAGAGGGCGTATAATGAGACATCCAACTGACATCATTTGCCTGCCAATCTGCACCATGCTTGCCAAACCCAGCCTCCGTAATAGCTTCACTGAGCAGGACTATTGCCGCCAGTGTCTCCATTTTTAAATTGTTCACCATATGGGAAAGTGTCATGCCGCCCCCTACTGTCCTGACTACAGCAAAACTAGGATGTATGAGCATTACAGTCAAGCATAGCACATACTAAGTAATAAAAGCCATGCCAACGAATATTTGCAGCTCTATTTAAGTCCCCTCCCTCGCAAAAATGTCTTTTACTGTATTGTTAATTAACATGCATGTTTAAGCTTCACTGTGCATGATGATGTATGTGCTGAGTTTGACACTAGAAACATCTATCTGCTGATGGGGGAAAGTTTCTATGTTTCTATAAATTTGAGTTAAACACCTGGACATACAAGCAGGATTTTGTGCAACTGGTTTGGAGGCAAATTCTGGTTCAGTATAAAATTTACACTAGTTTGATGTGGAGACTTGAAACCTCTAGCACTCATACTCCAAGTATGGACTTTTACATGAAGCAGAAGACATCTCGTGTCCTATTGAAATTAATAATATTTGCATATTAATGGATTCTGTGAAAAAATATGTCAGTCAAAATATATAAATTATTGCAAAGTATTTTTTATATTTTAAAACACTTCTGGAGGGAGTCTTTAAAGCCTCAATGGTGTACATTTACATTTAACTTTTTAAAATGTGTTATCTAGGAGCTTAGATTTTTTGCCATCCATCTGCCATGAAATAGACTAGACTCTAGTTTACCAGGTAAAAAAAAATCAGAGAAACGCCTCAAAGAAAAGGATTTATTGACAAAAATCCGACACAGGGTTATGTAATGAAATAACATTTAAACTCATATAATGAGCGATAAAGTGAGAGTCAAAAATCTCTGGACAGAAGAAAAAGAAGAAATGATTATGTGAGACTAGTTGGCATCTGTCAGTTTTGTTTTTAATTAGCAGCCTATCTGCTGTAATTAAGATGTGAGGAGGTTAATTAAGACTTATCCCTACTGCTGTGAGAACATGGATGGGATTAAGACCTGCTATTTAAAAGGCCTAATTAATAATCAACACATAAACAAAAGGCAAGTTTCACCATAGAAACACAAAGAAACCAAGAGCGTAGTTCTTAAATGTTAGCCCGGAATATGAAATCTAACCGTATGAGTTGAACTCAGGAAACAAAACCATGGCTGTAATGTAACTAAACACTTGTAACAATAACAAAATATAGATGTTGATTTTAGCCAAGAACTGTGCAGGAGCTGGTTTTATGAAGGCAACATGCAGCACAACTGCACCACCTTGTGGTCAGTCGTAAAAGTACATTCATTTTGTTTTTGCTGATAAATTCTCAGTGATTTACAAGAGTGTCCTTTAGTTTCCTAATTCTGTCCTCCACTCCCTTATAGAACCGGTGACTGGAGAATGAAGGGCCGATGATTTTTATGTGAGATTCCTCCAACATATATAGAACGTCATCGTACAGGGAATTCACATAATCGCAGATCTTAATCAGTTTCTTTCTGTCAGGCTGCTCCTCCTCGTCATAGTCGATCTGATGAACTCTTAAGATCGACTGCTGAAACTCCACCAAAGACTTCAGGTTTTCCAAGGCCCCCTGGATCCTAGAGGCCGTCTTGGAGGTTTGCTTCTCGGTCAACAGTATCCGCGTGAGGTCGGTTCCTTCCATATCCATAGTGGATGCATGAAGACCTCTCAAGCATCTATCCAATGCCTTCTTGTGAAATTTTTCAATGTATCTGAATATGTTTGAATCGACCCAGATGCACGTATCCTCAGGATCCTCTGGACAGATTGCACTCACGTCGCCCTCGGAGGACGTCAAGACATCTTTAAGTCCGGTCTGGAGGAGCTCGGCGGTGTAGGCTGAGCTGTTCTGATGCGATTTCTTCAGACGGTCAGTACTGCTGTAGCGGGAGCCCAATTTACTTTCTCTTATGGTCATGGTTGCTGAAATCCTGTCTGGTCTGCTGCTTTTTTGTGTCACATCGTCATCTCCAGGGTTTTTCGCTGATACTCCCTCTGCAGGGAGCAACTCCATGCCTGATAAGGAAGATGCAATCCCTGCATTGATCTCCTCCCTGAATTGTCTGGGGTTGGTTTTTGGTCTATATTCTGTGGGCATTTCGAGCTTGGTCCGAGGACTTTTCTCCCTTATTTCATCACTCTGTGTGTCGCAAAAGCTCCCTGCTGTCAAACTCTCATTGGAAACTTTTTGCCTCAAGGAAGCGTTTTGAGGTTTTGCATTTGAGAGCAGGCTTTGGACTTCAGTTCCCTCACCTGTGGTCTGCAGCGCCGTTGATAAGCTGTTTGAGCTCGCTGGTTCCAGCTTAGTGTTAGAACCGCTGCAGCTTACAGAGCCGACAACCTCATGATGAGATATTACCGTCGGATTAAGAGGAGTTTCTCTTAGTTTGAAGGGAGAAGTTTGGACTGATTGAAGCTGGCTGGCCCTGCAGATGAGGTCCTCTCTCAGGGCCTTGACGGCAGTGAAAGGCCCCTCAATGGTGGCTTTTCTCTGCTCTAGCAGAGGTCGGAAACGTAGCGACCTGTGAGCTGACTGCAGACTCTGAATCAGCGCTGCTTGATCTCTGCCGAATATGGGGAGATTGACCGTAGCCCTGGGTACATACAAAAACACCTGCAGCAAAAACATATTTGATTTAGTGTCTTACACCATTTGGTAAAAATGTTATTGTTATTACTTGATTTTAATCTATACTTTTAAACCACACTGATGGTCATACTTACATCTCTAGTGAAGGGGAACACCGTGAGAAGGTAGTTGTCAGGAAACTCATCGTCAGTCATGATGTGTTGCTGCTTTCGCACCACCCTCTCTGCATCTGCCAAGAGTACTGTACTGTTCTGCTATGGTCTCTTCCCATGTCAACATTATAATGATGCTTGTCATTTCTAGTCATGGACCATGCACGAAGCCTTAAGTCATTATCTACCAGCCTGATGTTGGCTTGCTTATGACAGCACATGACTATGACAAATTAAACCATTCATCAACTAGGCATACATCCAGGCAGCACTTCATGTAAATAAATGTTTGATTTATACTTCACCTGTCCACAAAACATAGTGTGCTGCATAAGTGGTTCCCATGGGAAACACAATTCCTTCCCATGGGAACCAATTATGGCATAAAACAGGATACTTCAACAATGGAAAGTGGATTATGTACAGCACAGTTGGGTTAAAGGTATTTTCATTCCCATTATATTAAGCTCACAGCTAATAAGATTCATTCGCTTTGGGTAAGCGTCTGCCAAATCAGTAAATGTAAATGTAAAATAAATACATGAAAAACCCAGAAGGTTGTTAAACAACACTTGCAGCAGCTCTGAATCTATGTCCAGAAAGACTCTTCTGGCCATCTGGATGCAAAAATATTGGGCTGTTGGATGCAAACAAAAATAACATCTCTCAATATAAGACTGCATTTCCTGATGCATGTAGCCAGAATATTCATATGCTCTTCCTCTTTTTTGAGGCGTCTCTAGCAAAAACCATTACTTTGAATAAAAGTGTGAAATATTAGACATTTGTGTTCCCATTGTCCCAAATGAGCTAGGGGATAATGTCATTTCCTTCCACCATCTTTGTTTGAGGTTTTCAAAGATGGTCGTGTGCCTATGCTTATGCTCTGTGCCTGGAATATAATACATCAAAAGCACAAACTGGAGCTACAACCTAACGTTATTTATTTAAAGTTTTTAAATGGTGTTTTGTTTGTCAACCAACCTGTTTATTGTTGACTTATTAACTTGTACTCCAGGAAGTGGGGACAGCTTTACAGACACACACCATAACTTTAAGCTTGTAGCTTTTGTTTACGCTAACAACCTGTTAGTTTACCTTCAGCTTTGTCAAAAGCGACAAACGCGACCCCGTCCGAGTTGGTGGGATACCTGACCACCTCGACGTCTCCTCCGTGACTTCTCCGGCAGCTTTGGAAATGAATAGTCAGCTTGTCAATCATCCTGCTGGCGGGCAACACGTTAGGCACACCGGACACGACCACCGTCCTGGTTTTGTCCCAGGCGTCGGCCTCCATTTCGCCTTCAGCCAACATGAAGCCGCCTAGCAACGTCCAAACTAACGGCTACTAACGGCAAACGTGCGAAATTTAAACATGCCCGCTGTTGCTACACAGCCACACACACACACAGAGTTACCTTACTGTTAGCTTTTAGTTTCACTTTCCCCTCTGCCTGGAGGTGTAGTTTGCTCACATGTAGTAACACCGTTTGTCCACTAGCTGCCTCCGTTTGTCTACATTTTACTCACTGAGAAAAGGGTTTATTCAAAATGGCTCATTTAGTCTGCTAAGCAAAGCAAATATCTGCATTGCCCAAAAAGGTACAAACGCCATGGCAACATTTTCTAAAGACTTGCCTCATCTGTTGTCCCTCCTCCACCTAAACACACACGCACACACTGAAAGAATATCTTCCTTCAAGAAAACACTTTAATAGACCCTCAAGTTAGCGAACTCATTTGCCTTTTAACTTGGAAAAATGTATGTCAACACGTGTGGTGCAAAGATTTATTAATCAAACCAAAAAACAAAGAAAGAAAGAAAGAAAAGCCACACCAGACACAGAACACCTCATGATTCACACAAACAAAATCCAAAAAAAAAATAAAAATAAAATAAGAAGCCGAGTAGAGTGACAAACTTGATTGCATTTTTCTTGTGCATATAAACATTTTAATTAAATATAAAAGAAAGTGGCCTGGCCGAGTGCAACAAACAGGTACGAGGGGGTTAATAAAAGAAAATCCAGACCCTGTCCAATCAAATCTCCATCTCCTTCATCACTTCAGTGCAAATCCAAAATTCACTGTGTATAAAAGTGATTTTAAATAATTCAGGTAGTATATCTATTATTCAGTGTTTATTATTGTATGGGCTCACAATGTACAAGTGCTGCTGCGCGTTTTTGTTGGGAGCCTGTTATAAGAGAAAGAAGAAACCCATTCTTGTGTACCTAACGGGAAATAAAATGCTGCCCAGCTTTCATGAGTCAGTGACTGGGATCAAGCTCGGACACAGATGACTGAAGTGTTGATGAATATTAAATAAAATAACACACTTGCTGTGATGTCAACGCTCAGTTGAAATGCAGTAATATGGTACAGAGCCCCAATTTCACATGTCTAATTTTCAAAAGTGGGCCCGAAAACATTCTTGAACCAGAAACAAGTAGATTATGTGTACGTTTTACTCGACGTGATGCTGTAAACACTCATGCACCTGCTATTAAAAAGAGCCACAGTGGAGTCACAAACATCTGGTAAATCCCAAAGCTCTCCAAACACGTTCACTTTTGAACAGCAAACTAGGTTTTTAGAATAGAAGGGGGGGCCTCGAGTTGAGCTCAGCAGCCACGGATGCATTTCACAAAGAAAACCAAACTGTTGGGTGGCGCTCTGAGCCCACACAGCACAAACCTGTCGGCCAGAAAAATGATAAAATGAACTAAAACTAAATAAAAGTGAACATTCATTCTTCAAACATTTGATACGTTTTTTTGATTTGGACAGCCTGGGACGTGAACTGAGACAGTCCAGACTGAGGCAGCAGAGGCAGGTGGTTGGATGTGCGTTCATGTGGCGCTCCGTAGGTGCACCGAGTTCTTAGCAGCTATGAGCCGACCTTGTCCGAGTCGCACAGCTCCCCTTTGTGTCTGGTGCTAGTTCTGAGTTTTAAGGTGGCCTGGGGGGGCGCTGTGGTGGAGCGTGGTGCCCGGGGCAGCATATCTGGAGGGTAGCATGGCAAAGATGGAGTATGATGAGGCCAGGTCTCTGCTGGGAGCGTCTCTGGTGGTGTTGCACAGCCTGGGCTGATGGTCCGACAGCCGCTGGATCAATTCGCCCCCTTTGCAGAGCTCTGCCAGGAGGTGGTGGGAGTCTGTACAGCTGATCCCCTCCGGAGGATGTGTCACTTCCAGGATCTGACTGCTCACTGCAGACAAACACAGACAGCGCTGTGAGCAGCAGAGCCAGTAAATAAAACAACTGTCATGGGTGAAGAGTAAACTCAGACCTGCACCATCGGGAGGCTTCAATAAACTGCTGCTGTCAGCTTTAAAGCTTTAGTTGGAAGGGCAGTCAAACCTGCTGCAGTGTGCTCAACCAAAATTATAAAAATACTCTAATTTTGTGTTTTTACTGATTCCTGATCGGTTACATTTTAAAAATGCAAACAGTGTCAGTCTAAAAATAAGGCTGCTTTTCTGATTTCCACAAAGCGTGACATTTTAGAGGCAGCGATGTAATGTTGAACTTTCCACCGACACATTGGGCATACTACCCCCCCTTTTTGATTGTACTAGTGGGATTATTGACAAGAGCACCTGAATAATGCAAAAAGATATCTCGGTGAGTGCAAAAATACGACGGCATATTTGAAATAATCAGCACATTTCTTTCGGCACAATACCGCCGGGGCTGCAGGTTCCACTGCCAGGTGTGAATTCTGCCCTGTCTGTGATTTATTCTGCTTACATTCACAAACAGACGCTTTCTCCACAGCTACGGTGCGCAGCAAGCATATTTTGACACAATAAAAACCTGACGTTATTTCAGTTAATCTGCTTAATAGGCTACACGGCAGCTGAAGTTATCGTGTGAAGCATCTGAACAGTCCTGTGATCTAAAAGCTGATGTTTCACTCGGGACTGCATGCTTTGAAAAACTGTTTGCCTGAGTTCCCATAAGAAACTACATATAAATCACTTTATAATATACCCGAATTCAACTTGGTGCTTCTTTTTGTAGAGGCAAGGTCACATTTCGGTCAGAACCTCTGATGGATTAAAAATGACTGCTGTCTACACTCAAGCCTCCCTCTGGACTTCCTATTACCTGCTTCACCTACACTGAGATCTGAAGACAGAGGTTTTCTGCTGGCCTTCCTCCCATGACCGCTACGCCAAACCCCCAGTGGACCCTGAGGAGACAGGACAACAGTAAGTTTACTTGTGGAAGGCAGGGGAGGGATGTTGGCTGACCTGGAATGTAATATGGGTCATAAATCCTAAAGATACCCCGATATTCATATATCAACACAATGACAACCATTATGTGTAGTGGTTTTAGCAAAACACGTTCCATCTTTTTTCAACTTTTATTGGTGATACTTAAAAGATGTCAAATCAAGTGTAACAAGGAAAGCGTTTGTCTTCCTGACCTGGTGTTTGGCCACCATGTGAGCAGTGTGGATCAGCGGAGGTCTGATGGAGGGTTTGTACTGGAGAGGTTGGCCCAGTAGAGAGTAGTGCGCTTCACCTAGATGTCAGCCAAAACACATACTTTCAGTACAAACAAAAAACTCACCATCTACTATGTTAACTTTTGTGCCGAATAATTTATTTTGAGCAAACTAAAATTTATTTGGTGCTAAATAACAGTTAGGTTATTTCTGATTAGTGCTGTATCTGTAATCCGACTGGCTAGTAGGGATATCGGTACTATGGAAGCAGTGGGAGGTGGTTATATATTTAGTTTTATGAACCTTTAGTCATTTTTTTAAAGGTAGTTGGTCGTTTATTGGCTGGAAACCTAGTCCTCTTGCAAGGTAGTGAGCTAACTTCAGTTAGTTAAGCAGTAGCTGGCTAAGCTAGTTGGCCAATTTCATAATTCCAGCTACAAAAGAGAAAAGGCATTATAATCGTTAATATTGATCCTTAAAAAACTCTTAACTGTAACTGTGCATCTAAAAAGAAATAAAATCTAAGATTTGACAGAGTGTGCTAAATTTCAGTTTAAAAGCATGTTTTAAAAGGTGGCTAATAGTAATTAGTAAGTCAGCTAGCTATATTAATTAATTCAACTCAGGGCTATATACATTTTTATGGGTACTTGTACTACAGAGTAAGTTTATTTTCTTTAAAAGGAACTACAACTTTCATATTAGCCACCTAAGTAAGCTAAGCTTAGTTAGCTACTGCTTATGTGGCAGGGGTTAGCTAGCTACCTCCAAAGAGAGCTAGGCTGCAAGCTAATAAAAGTACAAACTAACTCTATAATTATATTTTATTAGGGTTAAAAAAGAAAAGAAATATGTAACCAAAAGTGCCTGCTTCCCATTCTCTCACTGCTTCCCTACCTCGCTAGCAACAGGTAATCCTAGAAGCAATTGGACTGGAGACAAAGCAGCCTATCAGAAATGACAATTTTCCTATTAGGTATAATTGTGGCAGCTCTAGTGAGAGCGCAGGCTAAATGGAAAACTACAGACCAGGGATGTTGAGAAAAGACAAGAGAGTAAAACTGAGGTTATTATTGTGTGCTCTTGTAGCACGAAATAGATTTTTGTTAGCTCAAATGAAATTTTTCTTTACATGATAGCTGCTCTACAAAATAACGTATCATTGCACACTCTGGATTAAGTATTGATCAGTTGGTAAATGTACCTTTTCTTTAATATTTGTCTGTGAGCTTTTTATGTACAGTCTATGTCTGTGAGTGAATAAACACCCTGGTGGCCCATGCGTCTCTGACCTTGTCCACTGTGGCAGAAAGCTGTAGGGAGCGGCGGGGGGTGGTGGTGCGGGTGCTGGGCCATGACAGGGATGGACGAGATGCCTGATGGGAGGCCCTTGACGCTGGGCGGCTGGCCTGGCGAAGGAGTGAGTGCCGGAGACGAGGGCAAGCTGCTCTACAAACAAGACACCGGCGGTGCGGCGAGAGATTAGGGGGAGGAAAACGATCACTTTCATTTAAAAAAAAAAATAATAAATAATATATATAGCAACCAGGGCTATTTCTCTCTTTGGCAAAGCCATTCTGTTGTTGCTTTAATGTACCATTCGATCCACATTAGTCCCCCTAATGTACCATCACACCCTAATGCTAAGGACTATTTTCTCTTCATTTTCAGGTTACACCAGTGTTGACTTCATTTGCAGAGTCTATTTACTACGACATTTAACCTGCCTGGAGCAGCAGGGAGGCCTGGTCTAGCTCAAGGGGACAATTCCCACGTCACTGTCAGACTCAAACAACCAAAGTAAATTGGCTTTCAAATTGCTTTCTTGTGAGCGTCTTAACTTTCTGACACATACTGGTGTTGTCCTATGTCGCAAACATTACCAGAGTAAATGTATTTTAAAATAATTTGGAAATTGTTGACGTCAAGTTAAACCCTCTGGGCCACTGAGCTAATTATTTTCAAAAGACAACCTCAATAAGGTTATTATAAGGTTGTAAATACAATCTTACACCACAAAAATGCAATTTTATTTCATCCAATGTCTGGGAAGTGGTATTGTTTTGAGGGATAGTCTTTGCCCAATCGATGCACATGAGCAGCGTTTGTACCTGGGTGTTATCTGGAGGCGGGGGGAGCTCAGCAGGCCTGCGGTTGCGCTGGTAGTCGGGGCCCGGGTGTTTGTGGCTGGGCTGTTTCCGCTGGCAGGGGGAGGGGGCCCGGGGCTGCTGGCAGGCGGGCGCTGTCATCTGCAGCATCACCATGCTGCTACCAGGGCCTGGGGGTAACAACCCTGCACACAAACACAAATAAAAAACGAATAAACACAAGCTGAAATTAATGCTGTGCTGACAAGAGGCAAATCAGGTCAGGCAGACATGAGACACTTAATACTACTTATTTTTATTTAACTCATCAAAATAAACTCCTCATTTATGCACCAGACTCACCTGAAAGATTTAACGCGTTTTTGCTGAAAATCTCTTTTTTCAGCACTTTTGTTCAGCGACACACCTCATCAGTGAAAACACCGCTCTCACGCCGTTAGCTGCCGAGCAATTAGGTTTCTAAGTGCCTTGATTATAAGGGCACATCCGTAGCAGCAATAACAGGGTCCATTCCCTTTTCCTGCTAAATCCTCCGCGATGATCCGGGAGATCCAATTATCTTATTAGTTTGTGACGCATGAACGTGACTGATGTGACTTAAAAAAAAAACAAAACAATCAAAAGGTTGAGAAGCAAATGAACTACAAAAATGACAATATATTTCCAGCTAATTAATTCCTGTTTACATAAAGCTCACATTAGGTGGAAATCATACTGAAAACTTTGCACAACGGACGCCAATGTTGATTTATGAATTATTGCCCAACAACAGTAGCAAGGACACTGGATATTTGGACTTAATCTGCAGATTATTTCTGGCCCCGGCCTAGCCAATTAAAAATGTTTACTGGTGACGCTGTAGGTGAGGCCGCAGCGAGACCTTCATCTGACCTCATTACTGGTGGGCTGGAAATGATGGCTCCCTCCATTTCTCTCCCATAATAATCAGACATGAATAATAAAGGTCATTAGTAAGGAGACTGCCCCACCTGGGCCTCTGGACAGCGATTCGTTGAGCCCTCGTCAGGCCAATACAAAACAGGCAGTGCACGAAAAGATGGGTTATTTTTATAGTTTTAAACTTCTAATTTGATATTTATGAGTCACTTTGGTAGTTTCATCTAATTGTTTCCCAGGCGATATTAGCTGCCCCTTATACTCCTTTAATGTTTGACGGTCTTGTATTGAACAGCAAACATTTTGCTGTCATGCCTGTAAGATACACTCTTCACTATAATCAGGACAAATTAAGCAGAAAATATTTCTTTAGGAGCAAGTCACTTTTAATATTTTGACTGAACGTTTGCAGTGGTCGACCCACTGGCGGTTTAACCTGCGCGCAGCTCAGGAGGAAGGTGGAGGTGGATGTGCAAATCACTTTCACTTATCTGAACTCCAGGGAGCTGTCATCATCACGCCTCACTCTTTCTCATTTTGAAAATCCAGAGTGTAAATCTAATCATGCGTCTGAAGCACATACAATGGCAAAGTAAACCCGGGGAAAATTATTTCATTAAGAAGCCCGGGTCGAAGCTATGGAGGAATACATTCTGCGGTTATTGACACTGAGAGATGGGGAAAAATAAAGAATGTCGGAGCATTGGCAGTGATGGGGAATCTCCAGGGCGGCTAATGTCAGAGACTGAAAAGAGAATATTCTCACTTTGCTGCGTGATCAAACTGCAGATTGCTGTTTGAATCTAGGCTTCGGACTGTTTTACTGTGGTTCGGTGGTGGTGGGGGGGCATACCTGCATACTGCTGGCCTGGGTGCTGCTGGGAGACGCAGGGAGACGAGGTCTGAGGAAACTGGAGCTGCTCCATCATCTGGGCAGGCAGGAAACTCACTGTTGAACTGTGAATGAACACACACAGAGTAAACCAAGTGTCTTATTACAGGGCTTCTGAAGGGTCCTAGTTGAAGTGGAAAAAGACTATTTTAATACCACCTTTTTCACAGTCATACTGACCAAAGTATAAAAGAAATAAATGAAAATCAGTAGTGAGGATAAGACCTTGACTTATTTACCAAGTGCATCAATTTATTTGACATTTAAACCACATTTTTGGCATAAAACTAGACTAAACTAGACCTGCAACCATTAGTTGATCTATCGAAAAATAGAAATTACTCAGCAATTATTTTGATTATCGTTTAAGTCATTGTTCAAGCAAAGACGGCAAATATTTCATGGTTCCAGCTTCTCAAATGTGAAAATTTGTTGCTTGTCATTATCTTACAGTGTAGTAAGCTGTGAATATCTCTGTCTATCTCTCTCTAAGTAATTGTAATGGTCAGTTTTTATTATTGCCCCATATTGTATCGACCAAACAACTGCTCTAAAAACTAATCAGGAAATGAATGGACAATAAAAACGCTTGTTAGTTGCAGCCCTAATAACAATAATTCCTAATAATTTCCTTAACTAATCATTAAACACGACTTGGACTTGGATAAGCAGCAGAAAATAGATGGATAAAGATGAAATAAGGTTTAAATGTTGCCAAATTTGTCAGCGGAAGTGCTGAAAACAACCCCAAAAAGTGTCCAGCACGATGCTCACACCTAAGTTGGCCGTAAAAGTGATTAGAAAAAAATCTTAATAATCACTTCTAAACCAGCACAGACGTAAATCTCCGGGAGCTCTGAGATCTTAACGCTGCAGTTGGGGTATTAAATTTGGAATTTAACTTTAAGTCCATCTGCAAAATAGCTGTGCTCTGCTCTGTAAGCAACCTGCCTGCGGGGACTCGTGTACAGCTGGTGAAAAAGCAGGCTGCAGGTGGACAGCTGGTCCTCATGGGAGAAGACTGAGCCGTTCGAACACTGCCGCATAAATCATTTCCACACTGACTGCCCTACTAAAGCAGCCTCATTTTACAGCTGGGACAATGAGAGAGTGACCTCTCCTCGCATGTGTGTGTGTGCGTATGTGTGTCTTTACATTGTTCTTCGGCAGGTGATGACTGCATACATGGCTGTGTTCATGTTTGTTACTTATACGAGTGTGCACAATAGTCCCAGCAGTGCTCCACTCACCGGTAGCCAGATTGATTGGGTCCATGGAGGAGCAAACTAATTACATGTTTTGCTTTCTGTGAGCTAGTTCTATCAATCAGCTTATAATGAGAGCAAGCACAGAGCTGCACACTACTTCACACCAGCAGAGTAATGGAGGAAAATGACTAAAGCTCTTTGAGAGGGCGACAGAGTCGACATTCATCAGCTATAGGCAGACCCGCTTCACCAAAAGCATCGTAGTAATAACTTCATTTTTTCCCCCACAGTGAACAAAGATGACCTTGGCTCGGAGGTGCTTTGGGGATTCACTCATCAGGCCTGTTAGATCTATAAATAACAGGCACCTTCAGGAGTGAGAAACAGCATCAAGTACCTGCAAATCAGTTTCTGGGACAAAGCATATCTACAGGCGAGCTAATGATTGAATCTAAACTCGATTAAAGCACCTTCAGCTATTAGAAGCTGTCATTATAAAAAGGATGAACATAAATCACAGTAAGTTTATTATCTGCGTAAACATGACTTAAGTTAATTTTGGAGAAAAAGGCTGAACCAGTAAACACGATTAACTGTGTTAACGTTTTAGACAGCTCCTTTAGAATAATTATTAAATGGATCGATGTAAACTGAATTGTTCAAGAAATCATTTTAATAAAAAAATTTTATTATGCCCTCATATCAACGTATTGATGTGAATGTAAACTCTCAACTAGTTTGTATAAAAAATAATAATAAAAAAACTTTTACCAATCTATAAACTATTTCAGACCTGCTACCTGAAATAGGATGCCCAAGCACTTCTCCCCTCTCCCCATAAATAATAATAATAACAACAACAACAACAACAAATAAAACTCCCTGGTTCTACATGGATCACATGGGGGTCTTTTTTCAATCAAAGCGCTGAATTTCACTGAAAGGTGATGAGTTTGCTGCCCTGTATTTATTTTAATTAAAGATTTAAAATGTTCATATGTTTTGTTAAAAGTACACCTCATTTTACTCACGCTGTGTGGGTAATATTGTCTCTGGCAAAAATCTATAATAATCAATAATCCTCAAGTTCATATCGGCTGATGGCAATTCTTCCAAGATTTGTCAGCTTAATTGTTTATCTGGCTGGATAACAGACTCATTAAAAGCCACGAAGAACACCTGATTAGTAAACTGAAGATGTTTCTCTGCTGCTATTAAAAAGACCATTATTGATTCTAGCTTTATAAATGAGTTTAATAATTGTGATACTATTATAAATAAACAGCTTCTTTATCCACCTTCAAGCTTCTCAACTACCTCTTCTCTGACCACATCTAAATATAGTACTTATGTCAGAGTATGTATGTAAATTGAGTGTATGTGTTTATTCCAGTACACTGGTCTCTCTTGGTGCTGGTACAGTGCATACATCTCTATTCAAATCTGAAAGAAAATAACCTAATATATCAAAGAATGATCCTTTATCATTACTTTTGTCAGACAAGAACATGTGTAGAGCATCTGTGTTTAATCTGAGCGAGTACCTCATAGTGGTGTGCTGGTTAGGGGGGAGCAGGCTGTAGCAGGGCTGCATGCCAGCAACAGCCATTGCCCCCTGTCCCGGCTGACAGGACACAAACACTGGCTGCTGGTACGTCTGTGGTGGTACAGAAACCTGCTGCAGAAAAAAAAGGAAAAGATAAACAGATCAGAAAAAATGCAAATGCGGCCACAAAATACAGAAAGCTGGCTTTATTGGCTAATTCCAGCACACACACAAAACTGTAAGTGCCTTTTCAGAAGGTCTGTCATTTGCAAAAAAAATGCCAACAGATATTATTAAACTTATCTGGATCAAAAGCTATGAAATCTTAAACGCATCAGTTGCTATGAATACCACTGTAGGAGTTCTCGTACTTTTGTATTTTCCATAATATTAAGGACAAATAACTCGAAAGTCAACAATGGCATTCTCTTCTAATATGAAGCGCACGCTTTTATTTTTGAAGGCCTCTTCTCTTCCTGTGTCTTGAGAAGAATGTAGAGCCACTAGCAGCAACAATGGTGTCAAGAACAGCAAGTTTCATTCATAACAAAATTAACTGAGCACGCTTTTTCATTTTTAGACTGGGAATAATAATCTGACGCAGACAGGAGGAAAGCCCGCAGAGGCGTCTCATCGTCACAATACCTGATAAGACTGCATTGGAGGGTACTGGACCATCATGCCTTGCATCTGGTTGCCCATATTGCTTTGCTGGTTGCCGGTGAGAGCGAGGTTGGGATTTGGCTGCACGCCCACTATGGTCTGGTAGCTGGACGCTGGGTTTGGCATCACGGCTTGGTGCACTGAGGCAAAATGAGAAAGGCACAACGCTGTGACCGAATGAAAAGAGACTCCTGATGGGAACACGGTGATAATAATGAGAAAACACTGCAATTAATATTCATGATTCCTGTGCAACATAGCTAAAGACGCCACTCATAAAAGCTTGGTTATCAAGATTTTACAAGGAAATAGTCTTTTATTGATCTTAAAGGGAAATTTGATTTTCATCAGAAGGAGAACATAAGAACAAGCAGCAGATTGTGGAAGTCGGGGGTCGGCTCGCAGAGTTGAGCTGTTACAGCTAAGCAGGTTTGAGGCACTTGGAATAAATGAGAAAGTCAGTAGATTTGATTTAGCCTGGGATGGTCTGAACCTGTAACCTGACTGGCTGGGCCACTCCCTCTGCCTGAACAAAGAAAAACAAATACAAGTTCCACTTCCGAGTCATTACGTTCAGGAGGTAAACAGAAAATGGGATTCTACAGCACTTGTTAAAAACACATTTAGAGCGCCCGAAGAAAATGACACCCAAAAGACGACGCAAAGTCACACGGATCTGTCCGTTTCCCCCGAATGGCCTGAAATGGCGGCGCTTATTCCTAGCCGGAGGGAGAAATCAGACGCTTAAATGTCAAGGTGACAAAAAGAGACATTTGAAAATACTGTCCCTCGCGACGCACACACATGTGGTAATCCAAGTGACAAAGGAGAGGACGTCCTTTTGTGAAGGTGTCTTTACAGTCTGCCGCCCTGGGAGAGAAGTACAACTAGACAATGAGTGCGCTCCGCGAGGAACAGACAGGGGGAGGACTATTTTTATCCACCCTCCTCTCCCACCTTCACTTACAAACCAAGCATGAAATGGCTATAATATCAAACGCACCCGATTTTATTCCATTCCATCAAGCAGCAGATGAGGGACGATTGTGATTTCTCTACTTAGAAAATTCCTTCAGTGGTGGATAATGACCAACTGTCCCTTTATCATAAGTGTCGTTCACCATCGTGCTTTCGGAGGATGGACGGTTTTTATGCACATTAGGGATTAGAGCCGTCCGGTGAGGAGGAGGCCAATTTGAGTCTTTGCGTTGGGTGCACACAATGTCCGTCCACATGATGACTGTATGATGCAGGTGAGGAGTGAGGGGCTGAAAAAGAGACCGGTTCACTGTGAGATTCATAGAGGCCTCTCAGACAGCGTCCCGGCCCCGCATCCCGCCTCTCAGGCTCAGTACGCTTCCCCCTCTTTGGTTAAAAAACACAACAAAAAAACAAAACCTCCCGGAAAAAACCTTGAGACGCTGAAAACCGAGCAAATTAAAATGGAATCCAGTCTTGAAAGGCTCAAACAAAATAAAAGACAGCTGCCCGGCCTTGTTCAATCCATAACAGACCCTGTAGAGTTTATCTGCAGCGCCCAATGTTTTAGCCCGGCTCTCTGCATTTGGTTCATGTACTGTTTTTAAACTGTTTGCAAGTACGAAAGTTATTTTTTAATGTCACTTTGATTGAGAACATTCTGCCATATTTTTCTAGAAATTACATTTAGTTTATACTACGATTAGGGTTTCAACTCATTTTCATTATCGACTAATCTGCTGAATTCAGCAGGTAGGGAAGAAGATAGATTAAGATTATAGTTTCCCTGAGCCCAGAGTGGCATCTTCAAATTTCTCGTTTTATCTGTTCTAAAACCCAAATAAAGATAGATAGATAGATAGATAGATAGATAGATAGATAGATAGATAGATAGATAGATAGATAGATAGATAGATAGATAGATAGATAGATAGATAGATAGATAGATAGATAGATAGATAGATAGATAGATAGATAGATAGATAGATAGATAGATAGATAGATAGATAGATAGATAGATAGATAGATAGATAGATAGATAGATAGATAGATAGATAGATAGATAGATAGATAGATAGATAGATAGATAGATAGATAGATAGATAGATAGATAGATAGATAGATAGATAGATAGATAGATAGATAGATAGATAGATAGATAGATAGATAGATAGATAGATAGATAGATAGATAGATAGATAGATAGATAGATAGATAGATAGATATCTATCTATCTATCTATCGAGAGAGAGTTTATTATAATGTATGTCAAAGAAAAGCAGCAAATCCTCACATTGGGGAGGCTGAAACCAGAGAATGAACGATAAATTGACTAGACAAATCTATTAATCAACTAATAATTTCAGCTCTGTGTGCAAGTATAATTGAAATTTTGGAGGTTTCCATCATTCCATAAAAGAAGAAAGGTGCTTTTGTTTCATGTTACTTCCACTGAAAGTAATATTTGTCACATTTTCTTTCCAGCAATGATGTTCAGTTTGTCGTACAGTGTCAGAGAGCCTTTTAATAAACTGTAGCAACATCATCCAACAGTAAAGAGGGAGGAAGACAAATCCTTCAATCCCTTCACATATAATACAAGCTGCTTTCCTAGAATGACCATGACTGAAGCCAAAGCACTGAGGTGGCGGTGGCTGTCTGATGCAAGTGAGCGGAAACTCACCGGCTGGGCCATCAGAGAATTTCCACTGATAACTTATTTATTACATGTGCAAGCCACACCACAGTATCTTCACCTTTAGCTGGTCGTATATATTGTTGTTTTTATAATTAATGCAAAAACAGAAGGGAAACGAGGCACTGAAGTAATTTTTTTGGGCTCCCTGAAAAAATAATTGCTGTCCTTTGCCTTTGTAGGTCAGCTTCATTTGTCTGCTGCCTATTCTGCAGGTCCCCAGCAGGGAAGCCGTGTTTGCAGCCTACAGATGACAGAATAGTGCCGCAGCCACTTACAGAGACGTGTGTGCACCAGTGTGTTCGTGTGTGTGTGTGTGTGTGACACAATCGAGCTAACGTTACATCCAGTTCAGTGAGAGAGTATGTGTGTGTGTGTGTGTGTGTGTGTGTGTGTGTGTACGAGCGTGTGTGTGAGAAAGACCAAGCAGGAGCTAACAATCTCAACTCCTGTGGTGAAGGCAACCCCCCCCAACAAAACAGAAACAGAATAATCAAGTGGATGACTCCCGGAGAGGAAAGACAGGGAGTAATATTTGTCCTTCAGTAGAGCTACTGGACCGCGGCTGACATAGCTCCCTTGTGAAGAAACACACAAGAACAACAACAACAACAAAAAAAAAAATACTATCCAAGAGCTGAAAGAAGGAAGTTAACAAAGCCTCTGATATTGTATGACTTTTGATGCAGCTTTGCTCGTGACAACATGAAGTCTGAGAATTCAAGGAAAAATCGGTTGCTTCACATCAGAGGCTGCAGACCTTATTCATTAAAACATACTTTGATTCGTCTTTAGATCCATCATGCAACTATTTCAAAGCCTTACTTGAAAAATTTGAAGCTTTTGGTTTATCACTGTAATCTGGAGAAGTAAAGGGTAACCTGTTTTATAATTTATATAAAGTGTTTTTCATCCAAACAACTTTTCATTTAATGACAATTTAAGAGTAAAATAGACTTTTCTTTTTTAAAAACAGGGTCTTGATTTCATCTTTAACATGTTACACCGCTGAAAAATCAAGCATGACACAAACTATCAGCCAAATGTTCTTTTAAGAAGATAAAGCAATTCAACAGTTTTCTTTAAAATGACCGTGTTCACACCTTGTTGCTGGGGCAGGTTTTGGCTCTGAGGGCAGTTATAGGTCAGTGGGTTGACGGGGGGCCGGTAGTGCTGCTGCTGGCTGGAGCAGTGGGGGTGGTGGGCTGAAGAGCAGTAACACGAGGACATCTGTAAAAAAAAGCATAACACGAATTTAATGACTGCACGACACATCGGCAGTCCCATTTAAATCCACTTCACAGCAACAGGAGAAATGACGGATTAGTCATAAATGTGGTTTCCACTGTAGGGGTGACTCATGACTGAGGCCTACAGACAAATGAGCACATTTTGAAACAGTTATGAGCAGCCAGCATGATTTTAGATGCACACGTACCTGCTGGACAGGTTGCTGGATGTAGGTGTGTTGCTGGAGTAGCTGCTGGTTCAGCGTGGACCCAGGAAAAGCAGCGGGGCCCGGGGTGGAGCTGGGATATGCATGGTTGGGGCCAGGGGTCGGGAGCGGGACGTGCTGACCCTGCAGCACCCCTGGGTGCCCTCCCGATGGCCCTGCCATCACATAGCTAGCAACCTGCTGCTGCTGCTGCTGCTGCTGAGCTCCCTGCAGTACCACAGAGGAGGGGTGGTGGTGGTATACAGTCGGATAGTGGCGGGCGTCCGGAGCTGAAGCCCCACTTTCGCTGGCCGGTTGCTGCGCCAGAGTCATGTGACTGAATTGGGAGTTCAGGGCGTCAGACTGTAGAGAAAATTTAGTGTTAAACTTTTAGGTAAACACCACCAGATACACAAAAGATATAGCGCAGAAGGGCACTGACAATCAGAACATAGCAATTTAATCATTTAATCTGCTCCGAACATGGATCAATAGAGTCAACCTCCAGAGACAGTCGGCTGATTTCTAAGCTAAGTGCTAAATCAAAGGCATTTGCTAAACTAGACTTAGCTTGAAGGTTTAAACAAATGCAAAAGGTTAAAATCTGACCCAGGTCTGCGGAGACTAGCAGAGAATAAAGTGAACTATTTATCTGCATCACCACGGCACGCCAGTTCAGGTCATTTCTGACAAGTTGTTGGAAAAAGTGTAGTGTTTTTAGTCATGGATTATTCAGCGCCAACATCTGGTGATGAATTAAATATTAATGGAACTTTCCACAGGCATAATTAGTCACAGAGGCATGTCTTTCACTAAAACCAGGTCAGAAATGAGGTTAAGTGAATGCATGATCTATATGTGGGGAATGGCTCCTGCTGGATTTAGATACACCTTTCCACCAAAAAAACCTAAGTGAATAGTAAAACTGGAGTAATAATAAGGTTTATTTTGAGGTTTGGTGACGCTCTGCACGATTTTACATACCATTAACAAACACTTTGCTAAGCTAAACCTCCGGACTCACTGAAGGTGGACACCAAACTCTACTTGGCAAAAATCACAATTTAAATAGGAAAATATTTCTGGTAACACACATATGTTACATCCTTTTAACGTGTGTGTGGGAAATAATGCAGCTACATTATATATATATATATATAAAATCACATAAGTGAATTTATTAAAGGAGCTCAATAGAAGGCACATAGATACAGTACGAAGACCTGGGTCAAAATAGAGCTCAGAGCATTTCTTTAGCCCGACACAAGCTGAGCAGAATATCTGGACATCTGTGTCAGAGTGTAATTTATTAATTTAACTGCTCAGACAAAAAAAAAAGTCTATAAATATACTCTTAATGAGCCATGTCTGACAGGAGATGGAGTGGGGAGTAGGAATATTAATATGGAAGGAAGAAGTTCTGTACCACAGTGTACTGTTGGTTAGGACAGACTGGCAGGAACTGAGAAGGAGGAAGAGGAGGAGGAAGAGAGTACGAGACCGTTGGGTTGTGGACAGGCTCAGAGGACAGCTGGAGAGGAGGACAGATCGGCTGAGGAGGGAAGGGAAGAAGAAACGGACAGAGGGAAAGGAGATGAGACTGGACGAAGGAGGAAGTAAAATGGTGGGGAGCCTCAAACGACCATTTGATAAGCCGGTCGGTCACATAGGCAGCTTACAGTATATTTAATAAATAAAATAGATAAATTAATAATAAACAATGGGCCCTTGATTTCAACAACTGATGCTGGTAGATTTGAGCTAACATTAGCTTGGTCTCTATCTGACTTTTTAATGTTTCAAGCTGATTTGATTTAAAATTAGAAAGTGGATAACTGTGGATAACCATGACCTGGATGACTGAGAATCTTCATAGACAAAGTAAGAGAGTCTTAAATACGCACTTGATGGCTACATACATGTTATCACGGTAGAAGACTGAGGTCAAAGCTCACATGTTTCAGGCAAAAAAGGAAGCTAGCTGATAATCCATCTAGAACAGTGCTTCTCAAAGTGGGGCACGGGGGTCCTTAAGGGGGGTTCCAGGGAGTCCCTTATTTATTTATTTGTTTTCATTATAATTCCATCCATAAGTAATACAATGAGAGAATGTATAATTACTTGAGTTGTGGGTTTCATACACTTTCTGTAATGTAACACCTAAAAGCAAAAATCTTATCAAATGGGGGTCTGTGGTCAATTTGTGTCAATTTGGGGGTCCTTGATGTGAAAGAAATTGAGAACCACTGATCTAGAAGACATAGAAACAAAGAAACAGTATTGTTCTTGTGTTGTATTACAGTGTAGAGCCACTTACTCCTAGTATTATAAGTAAAAATGTATGACCAGACTTGTACCATAACCCTATTTAACTGCTGAGCTTACATCTTTGGACAAGCAACACAGTGGCTCCCAGGCCTTGGAAATAATGCTAGTTTACTTCTGTAGGCATCCTTACAATTCATCTTATTCAGTAAGCTTCTTAGGATAGAGAACATTACAAAAAAACACTGTGCACTACATGAATTCACTTTGAAAAAGAAAAAAAGTCCCACTGACCTGGGAGTGGAGGTGATTGGTTGGCTGCTGCTGTGTTGGGGCAGGGATTGGCTGCTGTGGGGTTTTCCCCTGCTGTGGGTTCCTGCCACCAGCGGGGCCGACAGTGGCCGGGTTATAAACCACAGCGCTGCCATCGGGGTGGATGAAAGGCTTGCCTGTCAAATTAAATTCATAAGAGAGCATAAAACCACAGTGATATGAGCTGTACACAATCTAAAAATTCAGCATCACACAAAAGGAAACACATGGATTACGCTCCTCATGACAGGGAAGGAGACGCCCAAACATGGTCCATGAGAGAAGAGTCAACAGGAATAAAACAACCTTGGCATCACTTGAAGTTCAGTTTGTAGCTCAAAAGTATACAACTGTGTGTTCGGCCCATGATGAATATTTACAGATTCCTCCCATCTGTTCAGTACATTTTGATCAGCATGCTTTGGTCTGACTACTAATTTGACAGACAAACCGAGTGCAGCCCCATGCCAACCTGTAATTCTGTCCCCAAGTCATGAATATTCATTAGAGTAAACCATAAAATTGCAAGACAGGAACATTTATTATTTTGGGAAAATTTTACTTTGATTTTATGCAGTAGGTTGAGATTGGGGTCACCGCCCTCGAGAAAGAAATTCTGTGCCTTTGTGTGATTTTTGATCTGGTGAAATGGAGTTTCCAAACAGAAATTCTGGCTTTTCATCTTCACACGGAGGCACCGTACCACCCACCTGTGTGTGGGTTGACCAGAACGCTGCCGGGTGGTATCCCTGAGGCTTCCAGCGGCAACACATAATAGTTTGTTACGTCTGTAGCTGGTGGTAGCTGCGGGGGTGCGCTCTTGATCATCTCCGGGTGCCCAGAGCCTCTACTGTCAGCAGCCGGATGGATTAAAGGTGCGCCGGGGATGCTGGACCAGGACGGGGCTGAAATTGGGAGAGGCAGCTGGGGACGGGACAGCGAGCTGGACGAGGAACCGACGCTACTGCATGATTCTGAACCTGAGGAAAGGCAGAACAAAGAGGTCATCATCTCCTGCCTACACATCCTTTGAGAGGAGGAGCATTTAGTATGTCTTATTCACAAGGGTGGAAAGAGTTGGTGGTGATAATGAAGCAGTCGTGTCTCTTGCTAATAATGCAACCTCTCTTGTGGCTGAATTGCATTCTGGTCTCTGAAGGCAACTGTTGATGGAAAAATTGGTGTCTCTGCACCGTCTGTGATGGATGTCTTCCCTGGATAATTACCCAGTGTCGTGCAAAATGGTGAATGCGCAAAGGAGCCCTTTATTTCAGGGAGGAGGGACTGGCATCATAATCTGGCATTCAGGATTTTGGATGGCTGCACACTTTAAATTTCCTTTTTAAATTCAGGTTGCTTGAGTATCCAGATCCTTTGCTTAGGTAGCAATACAACAATACAAAAATACTCTACTAAATAATTTCACTAACATACAGAAGTATTCAGCAAAACGTTCTTAAAAACGACAACTAGAGCGGTCAAATAAATGTAGTGATGGAAAAATATTTCCCTCTTAAAGGCTGGGGAGGAAATGGAAATACTGAGGTACACTACAAGCACCTCAACACTTTACTTATTTACATTCCATCACTGGATTCAGACGAAGTGAGGTTTGTGACTTTGGACCAAAAACTAATATCATAAAGACAGAAACAATAGACTTTTCTTTTCAGATGACATATATAGGCTATCCAAGTTCAGCCTGTTGCAAGGAAAGATCATTTGAGGGCTTAGGAGAAGGGCAAACACAGGAGAACACGGCAGCACAGGCAAGATGTCTCCTCGACTTATAGTCCCAAAACACCAAGTGAGGGCAGCCAGCCGCCTCGTAAACAACTTAAAAAACTGCTCAGGCAAGAAGCCTGCTGCTGCTACCACTCTGTGAGAAAAAGAAAAAAAGAGATTGACAAAAAATAGAAAAATGCCAGACGGAAACAGCGGCAGGGAGCGAAATGGAGAGCAGAGGCCAACCAAGAATTTCTGTCCTGCACTCGCTGAGATAAAGAAGGCAAACCGGCGGTGAAGAACACGTTTCATCTAATCTCAGCCAGTCAAGTTACAAATGTATCATATTGTGGAGTAAGCACCTGCAGTTGGAGAGCAGTCCTGACTTCATCTGGGTGGCGTGCGTGGCACTTCCCGGCGCTTAGGCTTATACATTATGCAGCAACTCCTCACTGCTAGGTTTTATACTACTGCTGCTACAACACTTTTTAAGAGCCTCTTCCATCACCATGTTGCTGTATGGTAATCAGTTTTGACAGCTGTCCAGCTACAGGGTGGCCCACAGACTTTTATTGACCACGGCAGGACAACAAACACTTGTTCTGATAAGACCTCAAGTGCCCCGAATGCCAGCGGACTTTGCTCGGAGCTTAATATGCAAAATGCCTATTCTTGTTCCCCATTCACCCAGTGTACTGTCTAATTAGCACATTTTTCCTCTTCATGCTGGGACACAGCACTTGTCTATTTGACTGACTGAATACATTACATGTTCGACCCAAGTGAGAGACATTTTTGAAAAGAGAGCTCTCTCCATCTACATTCACAAATTTACCTGTGCGACGTAATTGGCCTCATTTTAGAACAAGAGCAGTAAGTCACAGAAATAGCTTAATCGGATAAACAAGATGATAGTTTTTACTCGCAAAAACAATTCATTAAACACTTGTAATTAAAGTATTGACTATTGGCTTTATTTTGTATTTCAGGCATTTAAAACAAACTGAGGATATTCTGAGGAAACTGCTTCTAGTATCTAAACATTGTAGGACAGCTGTGTTACACAGCCCTAGTCCATCTCCCGCCCTCCCTCCTCTTGCCTGTTTTGGAGAGCCTTCCGGTGCTCTTGCTGCTGGCCGTGCTGTCCCCTCGGACGAGGCCGGGCGAAATGCCGCTGAAGCTGCTGGCCTTGGTGATGGCGGGCCGGGGGGGCGAGCCGGTTGGAGCTGTCCGAGCTGTCGGTGCTGCTCCACGGCCGAGGCTCGCCGTGCCGTGGCAGCGTTTCCGTCTCGGAGCTGCTCTGCCGGCTGGCGCCTGACCGGCCGGCCCGTAGCCTGGTCAAGGAGAGAGATTCCATTTTTAAAATATCTTAGGCTTATTTTACTCTCCAGTGCAAATTCATATCACAGGATCTACGTGTTTATTAGGGCTGCCACTAGCTACCACTGCGTTATTTTCATTTTCAATTAATCTGTTGATTAACTATTTGGTCCATAAAATTTAAAAAAGTAATACAAGGAGTTTGCCCAAAGATATTTAGCCTCATAAAACACAAAAAAACCCAGCAAATATTTACATTCCCGAAGCTGTAACCAGAGAAGTCTTTTTTTGTTTTTTGTGCAATTTTCAAAACAGTTGCAAACACATTTTCTGTCGACTGACTAATTGATCAACTATTTGTTTCAGTTCTAATTGTAAGAAAGCATTTTTAAAAACTTGTAAGTTACTTGTTAAAAAGTAAATTTAATCTTATAGCCTGTAGTCATCCTCTAAAACCATATTCAGCGATGGCCATTCATTCCTTGAAGATTAAGCTATAGAAAGACTGCATCTACTCCAACAACAACAACCCCCCCCAACATTTTCATGTTTTAATTAATTAGCAAGCTTTGGTCCGAATAGGCCGTCCCACATGAGGAAGCCTGGGCAGAAAATCCTATTTAACAGAAGCTTTCCTGAGCAGCAAAAACAAATCCTCAGATCAGCACTGTTTCTCCCGAGCGAGCCGATTAAGGCGGACGGCGATTGAAAGGGTTTTTTCTCTGCCTGCGGTTCGGCCTCTGAAAGAGCTGAATGATGTGTGACGGGGGTGGACCCACCTGAACATTTGCCGCCTCTGTTGGGTGCTCATGCATGCGTCTTCATCCTGAGCACTGGGAAGGGGAGGGGGGAGAGAGGTGTTACAGAACAGGCGCTGACAAAATGAGATATCCACCATTTTGAAACACGGCGGAGCTGACTCTAATTGCTGCCCTGACAGGAAAACTATAAAAGTGATTGAATGTCATTTGAAGCAGAAGCTATCTGAAGAGCTTTAGTTGGTCTTTATGGGATGAAACCGGGTTCTGCTTTGGCCAATTAACTGACAATTCATCATCCATATTAGAGATAGCTTTTTGGTACAAAATTATTTCTCAATGGAGAGGTGAAGCAAAGTCAGTGATCATGTGATTAGTGTAATTTTACTACTTACCTTCTATCTAGTATGAAGTGATCTCCCTGTGGGTGGAAATGATACAGTGAATTACAGTCGTGCAGATAATTCATGGCACAGTTTGTTCTTACTCTTATCTCGAATACTTCTCTCTTTGCATTTGATCTCTGCTGAAAGCTACATTTCACGCATTAAAAAACGTCTTGGTGTTCTCATGAATTTGATTCTACAGCATTAATCAGTTTATTAACACATATCATAAAACCTCAACGTTGCGCTGACAGATGCTTGGACCCCAGAAAACCATCTTGCAGGTTTTGTTACAAATTTGGCTCCAAATCGGAGAGACTCCGTCTAAAAATTCATAAATCCAGCAGCGGTAATTGGTAGCAAGAAATCTACTGAATTTGCACATGAATAGAAACGACAAAGATTTGTGCATCATGGCTCCCACCCCCCCCCACCCCGCCTACACAAACAGCTCTCACATCATGTGCAAATATCCTTTCTCTGGCTCGCTGGTACTCCTCCTCCCTCTCCTCCATCGATTTGCTCCTCTTGTCAGCTTTCAAACGCATTCGAATCTGGCAAGGACACACCACACAAGCACACACACACAAGCACACACACACACACACTTCTTTAGCAGCTATGTCAGGGACGCCAGATTGTCCCACTCTTACCAACATGTCAGAAATGAAAGTGACAGCTTGGTTGGGTGGGGGTGGGGGTGGGAATAAAAAAGCACCTACCGTGCTGTCTTCGCGATCAAAGCTGGAGTTGTCTCGTTTGAGAATGTAGCGTTTCTGAAAATCGTCCGCCCTGTCATCCTTGATGTGCTCTGAGAATTTCTGATCGGGTCTGTCGGTGGTGGAATTCACAAGAGTTTTGGTGGCAGCTTAATTTTAGGCAGATGCTGACAGCAACATATGTTAACCAGCAAGCAGTGCAGGAAACCAACTTATCTGTCGAATGACTGCAACAGCTTATGGTTGCAGAAAATTCATCACCAATTAACTAGCAAAGTGATAGTTTAGTCTATGACCAAAGAGAGACTCACATTCTAGTGTTGGTGGTTTTGTTGATCACCACTGACTTTCCACTGGGGTCCACATTGTGGTCCATGCCAAAGTAGGCTGCCACTCGATGTAAGAGCATCCTGTGGTAAGACGTCATGGGCGGGAACTTTCTCTTTTGGCTTCTAGAGAGAGACACGGAAATGTAGTTAATTAACGGTCTACAGTTGAAATCTTTAAGTTCTTTTAAATTAATATTCTGGGAAAAAAAAAAAAAACAAGAGTCATAAATCATTGATAATCTCAGTCTAAAATCAGTTTAGTAAATTGGGGGCAAAAAAAGCTACGCTTGTTTCATCTGTTAGATATCTGTTGTTGTTTTACCTTGTAAGGACTTGCTCTTTGGCCTATTTTGAAAATGTTTCAAGGCCCTTCTGAGTTCACTGGTGGAGAACTTTAAGCCCTCAGTAATTCCAGACCAACATCACTACATAGTAATAGTGATCAAAACTGAATTTTTATACTCTAAACTACAAGGAGAGACAATAATAAGTCTACATATTCCTTTTAAAAATTATCCACACATCCAAACAGTGCCAAAGACTCTACAGCAGTCCTACTTGAAACAGCTGGGACGATGAACAGCTGTTCTTAAAACGTGTGACATCAAGCCCATCTGAAAGTCTAAAGATCCTCCTGTGTTCATATTCTAGATATTCATTATGTCAAAGACAACCTTTTAACATGATGGAAAAGTTTGCGGGTTATCATTCCCATCAAAAACTACTGCAGCTGCGTTCACCGAGTTCTCCATCTCTGGTTGAATTTGAACTCATATGTCTGTGTTTAGTCAGAATGATATCTTAATAATATCTTAATTGAATATTACTTACTCATTATTGCTGATGAAGTCCAAGATGTCCTGTTCCAACTTCAGTAGCATGATTCGATCCCTTAAAAAAAAATGACACATTAAAATAGTTTTTGAGACATCTCAAACACAAAACTGGGTTCATAATCATTAATGTTTTTACTTTTCAGACCACTTAAACGATAATAAACACTATAAAAGCCTAGTTACACCAGAAAGTAGCACAGTGAAATTCATCTGTGTGTTTTCAAAAATAAAGGCTTGGTGACTTAAGGACTATACGCAAGGCTAGTTGGCGAATACTGTAGCTAGCAAGCTAAGCGCTAACTTGCTAGCCAGCATGGAATTAGCAACCCTACTACCTACCCAGGACGCCTTGTCACACCTTGCTTGTTTTGTACAACACAAGAAAAAGTTTGGTTCACATTGAACAAATTGGGCTCTAAAAAGTTAGCAGGCTAGTTGCAAATGGGACAGTATATCCGTGGGACAGGGATAAATAAAAGCAGATGGGGCAAAATAGCTAATACGCTATAATAGCTTCCTCCATTTTGGACTTCTCTCAAAAAGTCAGCACAGTCAAGACACCTTGCTGTTGGTGAACGGTGGGAATTCCTGAATCAAGTTCCACTAATCGCAACAATATCGTTGAAATGAATAGATTTTACAGTAACATTTGGCTGTTTTAACTAAAAGTATGAGCAGGTTTTTAGGCTCAAAGTCTGAACTCCTGAGGGTCAAGGTTTCACCACAGTTTGGTGGAATTTGGGTGTGTATGTTGAACATACCTGGGATTGCCCTTTAATGTGTTGACCAGGAACTCATGGAGATCTATGCCAGTTGAATCTGTGTAGTCCTGACTGGAATCTAACAAAGACAGACACATAATTTCTGGTTTCAATAACCAATGAGGTAAACCCTTTGAAATTAAAGCAATAATGCATCACAGATCTCATTTATAAAACACAGATTCCACCTCAAACATACTTGTGCACAAATGAAGAAATCTTCATATACTCAAATGTCTCCTACATTATAAAACAGACCCTGGGAATATAATTTTCTTTATATGACTAACAAGGAAATTGAAATGTTCCACCCTGTTAACTCTCCAAATTAATAATAAAAACAGTTAATGAAACGCATGTTGTGAATATTGATATGCAAATTAATCAGCTTGTCATTCAACTATTTGCGAAAAAAAAAAAGCAAAAAAAAAGAAAGAAAAAGTCTGAAAAGGGAAACGTCACGGAGGGTGACATTGCCGAGGACCATGCTATCTGGTGTTTGTGGTTGAAAAAAAAGAAAGAATCTGACAGCTTGTATGAGCAGCAGTGAGCACTGCCAGCTGAACCCCTTAAGAAATTAAGAAGTTGTCGAATATACGAAGTTGACACAGAAAAAACATGTTCCTGCAAACCAACAAAGGACAGAGCCTATTAGTGGGAGTGGGGGAGACACTGGAGCTCGTTCCCCTCGGTGGGTGTCTGGTTTCTATAATTGGAGGCTGCCTCATCAGTGGTGTTGCGCCGCAGAGGGAAGCAGACACCTTTAGACGCCTGTGGGAATCCATATAATTGCAAACACCTTGCGCTTGTCGCAATTAACTGAATCACGCCAATTATCAGCCCATAATGAGATATCATTTAAAATGGAGAAGTGCTTTTGGACAAACTGGAGGGCACTACGCCGGAAAAAAAAAAATAGAAGTTTAGGATTGGATGTTCCTTGTGACATGGTAAAGGATATAATTATTAGAAGGCTGTAATTTGGCTGAGTGACATAGATTGTGTGATAAGTATCATTAAAGCATTTGCTTCATTTCAACACTTTGCCCTCAGTGTCACCAGTGACACACTGCCAACAAAATGATGTAAACATACATACATAATCTATGGTGTAAGTGCGCATGTATGGTTTTCTATATATAAATTCAAATTTTTGGATGGGAAAAACACATGCATCTTTCAAGCTCCTTTTTGGGAGTAAGCAATGTTTATAAATGAGGTCCCAGGTGTTTATGATGTAAAGAAAGCTGAGGTGTTAATGGAAAAAATCTCAGCTCCTGTGACGGCAAATCTGTTTCCCTGTATCGTCAGGTCTTCAGAGTTTTCTAACCTTAAAACTTGACCCAAACTTAGTAATAAATATTTTAAAATATATTCACAGAGGTTCGACACTGATGGAAGGGCACAACAATGTTTAAAAAATAAAATAAAAATGCGTGCGAATAGGAGGAGGAGGTCAAGATATTCAAGAAAACAAAACAGAAATTAAACAAACAAAAAACCCACCTACAACTTGTGAAACGAGCACTTCCCTATGGGTTTAACTGCATTTCTCACCTCTCGACAGCATTTTTCTGGGCGTTTTCTCAGGTTTGTCCACTTTATCGCAGCTGTCCTCTTTCTCAGCTTGGTCCTGTTTGGCTCGTTCTTCTTTTTCGAAGGGCTGGAGAAGGAATCCATCCTGTTCGGGGAGGGAAGGGGGGGGGGAAATTAAGAGCTATGCGTTTTAAAACACATGGGTTTTTGCAACATGGCCTCACAGTTTAACCATTCGTGGGAGGCTTCCACTAGTTACCACACACAAGTGTGATAATGTCAGCATTTCACAAAAGCTTCATATACAAAATGTGACCTCGGTGTGTCCTGATCGATGAACAGACACCAGGCATTCATTTAGAAAGGAGGCATTTAATTCTCTATGATCTTGCCTGAGGCTCTAGGTTAATTAGAGAACAGAATGGGCAAAAGAGGCCACTGTAAGATACTTAATAAACTCTCCTGGTTTATCATCAAAACCAGTAATAATGTACCCGCGTCCATGAATTTCAAATCACGATGACAATTAATCTGCCAGATTAGCTTGTTTTTATTAAACCACTTAAATAAAACATGAGTTTGAGCCTGAAATTAAACAACACAGCACATTTCATTCTTTTAAAATTCAACAGAATGGAGGAGCTGTAATCCCCCTCCAACTATTAAAGTTCTTAAAATCAACCAATGTTAATGGAAAACTGAATGTTTTGTGAGATCTAGTAAAAATGGTCTTGGTTTACCCCAGTCGAACTCTTCCTCATCTCTCACACACACACACACACACACACACACACCTCGCAGCAGTATCTGATTTGCTTTTCAGGCAATCCTACAAAAGGATGAAAGGCACGCTGAATAGAGGAGAGGGGTTGCCAGTGCACCGTAAGTGGATTAAACACAACTCTGGAAAGCTAACATCAGAGAGTCTGGGAGAGCGTGTGTGTGTGTGTGTGCGTGCGTGAGAGACGGAAATGAATGAACAGAGGAGCGAGAGAAGGGGTGACCTAGTGGTGGGAGAGCAGCTCATAACCGATAAAGGTCACGGGTTTGATCCCTGTAGCAGCTGCGAAGCAAGATAATGAGACGCTACGTTCTTCTTCATTTCAATGCGCTGTGAATATATGTGAAATTGTAATATGCTAACGAGAAACGTGACTGACTAATTGCCAGAGTGAGACTGGGAGAAAGCGAAAATGAGTCTAGGACTGTGTGTTGTGTAAGTGACAGCGAGTTCATATGCGCGTGTGTGTGTTTGTCAAAGAAAAGGGATTTTTTTTCCCCTCCTCTCCCTGGCAAGAAGCGGTGATGTTTGCTACTTAATGCCACCCTCGGCATCACATGGAAGCCGCCTGGTTGATGTGCAGCTGTTGCGAACTGCCTCATTTGTTTCCTGACATCCATTTACCTCGAGATAAAAGGAAAAACAGCGTGAAAATGATGGTCTTCTGAATATGTAATGAACATGCTGTCACTCTAAAACAAAAAGTACAGCGTGTATTCAGGGGCCCTTGACTATCGGCCATTGATTGGAATTGACAGCCAGGCGTACAATGTAACGGCAGATGCAGATTTTCAGGACGTAGAGTAGGCTTGGACAGTCTTTAGATCCATGCAGCCCTTTGTTAATGCTTGTATTTTGACATTAGAGACAATAACAAACAATGGGAAATGTTTAGATTTGATAATCATGAGGTCTGAACAGGATCTTACAGCTGAATGTATAAGCCCCCCCCCCCGTCCTTCTTTATTACTTTACCTCACCCCTCTAGGTTAGTTTGCCGCAGAAGGAGTCTCAACTCCGGGCCCAATAACAGTAGCGGGGGAAATATCAGGAGTATTCAATTAGAGCGCTCCACAGCCCTCTGTAGCTGACGTGTGGAAATTGTAATTTCCTCGACATGATTGATGGCAGTAATACAGGACGTCGTGTGAGTGCAGACGATGCGAGACTGTTTTGGGAATAACACCGCCCTCTGGTTATGGAGCTCGGTGCTGACTGGCTGAAACGCCTAGAACAAACACCTGTGTGTATAGGTGTGTGTGTGAGAGCACGTCAGGAGCTGTGCAGGGTGGTATGTAATGGAGAAAGTTTGATCAGAGGGGAAGGGGGGGGCTTAGCCCGGAGATACCTTCTGCTTTGGTGATGTCTTCATGAAAATGTTTCATCAGGCGGACCGCGGCCAGGTGTTTAATCATAGCTGTCAGACAAAGGCTGCTAAATCAAGCATCAGAGGTCTACCTGCTCCATTGTAATGAACCGATCCCCTGGTCAGCACTTCAGCATTATGCATGTAAGCTTGTAGCTTGATGAATAGGTATGAGGTGTCAGAGGAGCGCCTATGTCACACTGGGCGTGATGAGATGAACTCTACTCCCTGAGACTTTCAAGAAACTTTAAAGGTTCCCTCCGCTCAAAAATGTGTTTTACTTAAATCACTTGACTTGGGTGTAATAATGTGCTCAAAGTATATTTAAAACATGTCTTTCTTTTGTCTTTCAAGAGTTTACTGCTGGATGTCAATAGTTAGAAGGTAGAACATAACAGCGACAAAGCGCGTCACTGTCATTTCAGGCTCTTTTAAGCCACTAGCACCACCCACCGGTCCGCAAACCATCTCTGCATTACTACAAACAAATCCCCTAAGCTGCTGAAGATGACTGGTGAGGATGAAGGTAATGTGGGTGTTCTTGATGCAAGGAGTTTCCTCACGCGCTCTCTCTCTCTCTTCATACATTACAACTCGGCACCCATAAACTAGCCGCGCTTCAGTCGTTCAACTAACAAGTGTTAGCATAGCAAGTCAGATTAGCTAGATCTAGACGGGCAAGAAGCCTGGTTCTCTGGTCCAGTTAATCAAAATAAGATAATAAAGATAGGAGAGATGCACTGTGTTCATGAAAAGCCACTGTTAACAGTAGTAAAAAATGTAGGTATTTCAGCATGGTATATATGTCTAACGTGAATAAACTCAGGTTAATCAGAGAGATCGTTACCTGAGGTGCTGCTGAAGGCTCAGGAATAGGGCAAGGAAAGGACTCTTCACACACTGCCAGGCTCCGCACGAGCTTTAGCCTGGTGTTGGACTAAGGAGGGGGGTGCAGGTAGGTGGGCACAGTTAAAACCATGCACACACACACACATACACACACAAACACACACCTGCATCAATATCATCACGCATTACAGTGACAAGCCAAAGTAAAACAGAAACAGCCAGCGAGCACGATCGATTCTTGCAAGCAAATCATACAGTTTCTATATTTCACATTTTAGCTGACAAAAACTTTTCCCCCCGAGCTTTTTGCTGGTAAGATGACTGCATGCCATTGGCTGCAGATCTTCTCAGATAACTTGATCAGAACAATCTTAAAATAAAAACAAAACGGAGTAAGCATTTTCACAGAAACTCAAGCCTTCTCTTGTTTTTTCCCGCGAGGGAACATAAACAGCAATGCAGCAAGCACAGGAAATGTCCATATCAAACTGTTTTTTTCCCCAGGCACTATCACCTCCACTATTGTTCATTTAATGGCGTCTCAGCACGTTGCACTGAAGTAATTTTAGACATCTGGAACAATGCGTACGATGACAACTAGCTTGACAGGAAACACAGTACAACTTCCAACTTAACCCAAACAAACAACGCAATCCAAGTGCACATTCGACAGGTTGGAGCATCCTTGCAACACATGCATGTCGAGCGTACCGTACCTTAGAGTACTTCACAGGCTGTCCATAGGTAGGGGAGGGGTGCAGGGGAGAAGTGCACAGGAAAATCAAATCAAACAAACCACAGAAGTTTCGAGGGGGGGAAAGAGGATCGTTACTTTAAGAAAGAAGTGGAGAAGTTTGAATTAAATATGACTATGGCCTACATTTTGTGCATGCGTGTGCTACTAGCTCTGCAAAAGAGCAAAACACTTCATATCAAGACTGCAAAAACAGACAAATAACTTAATTTAAATGCCTGTGTTTTTACATCTGTTTGCTAGACTGACAAATGAAAGAGCAGAAAAGAAAATTAAGTGACATTGACCTGAAAAAAGAAAATGAAATTTTTCTGTGCGGCATGAAATCTCAAGTTGAACAGTCACCATTTCCTGGGAGCGTGAATTAATTTTGCAGAGCATATGCTACTAAAGAGGTTGTACTGCAGAGCACCTTCCTTGCGCACACACCCCTACACACACACACACACACACACACACACACGAGAAAACAAAAGCCAGACACTTGGCTGCGAGCGATTCAGGTCAGTTTTCTGCGTTGCTCCCAGCTCCATTTAGCTGTCATGTGAATCAGACCCAGGCGCTGGAGGTGAGATGCAGAAAGCAGAGAGAGGCCGGCCGCCCAACAGTGTGTGAGACAGCTCGGTGCCTCTGCGCTTCACGCACTAGTGGCCGTGTGTGTGTGTGTACGTATAAACAGACGGTCTCTCAGTAGCATGCATAGAGGAGCGGGGGGGGGGGCTGGCAGGAGCCATTTCAGCTGAAATTGTAACAGAGCCCAGTCCTCTGTTTCCTAATCCCAACATGCATCCACACTAACACACGTGCGCACACACACAGCTTTGTCCTTCCCACCTGTCCTCTAAAAACCAAAAGGACAACCCCTCCCCTCTCTCATTGAGCTCGGGGCAAAATAATACCTATAAAAAAAATTTGCAACGGGCCGCTGTTAGCCCATCTCCGATGCTTGTGACCTCCCGCGCCCCCCTTCTATATCAGGTAATATGGATGTGGATGGAGGAGGGGAGGGGTGGGGAGAGTACTGGGACTGTGAGCGCACCACTACACCAGCTAATTGAGCGGCGTGGGGCCGGTGGGGAATGAACAATGCCGGCAGGAGATAAAGGAATGGGAAAGGGGGAGAGGGAAAGGGCTGAAGTCAGCAGAAGTAGGGCGGCCACCAGCCACCTGTCCTGCCGCAGAGGACGGAGCTGGAGAGCTGGAGGCAGATGGTGACAAAGTCACCCAGTCGCCCCCACCCTTTCTCTGTCGGAATGCTTTTCTGTCACCCCCCATTACACCTACCGCCGCTCCCTCCCAGGTTTCTTATCCCCTTTCCCTTCCTCCTCTATTTCTCCTCACAATGAACATTTCAGGCGTTTAACCGATGCCCTTACACACCGAACGACAGAATTAGCTTCACCTCCTCTACTGCTGAAAATCACCAGCAGAAAGGTCAGGGGCTTTGGTGCCGTCAGCATGTCCTGGCATATCCTGTGACCGTGGAATAATTACGCCAGAGTGAGTTTTAGGAAAAAGGATTAGAATTGAGAGGTAAGGAGCTAGATACAGCCTGCATTTGGAGAGGTCACACAAAAACATTAAGAGGAGGCAAAGTCAATTTAAGGTGACACGTGAAAGCAGAAGGGAAGAGTTCGGCTGGAGGTGGTGACAGCTGAGGAAAAGAGCTGCTTGCTCAGTTTAAAGTCAAGAATTTACAGTTTCAAATCTTTCCGCATTATGAAAAGCTTCATCAGTGTCAGTTATCAGCCTCATAGTGCTGTTTGTGTATCCTGGAAAAAACAGCGGCCACTATTGCCACATGTGCTAATTACAGGACAACAGTTAATTTAACATCTCTTCATTTTCCAAGTTCTCTCGAGTCAGTAAGATGTGAAGATTAATACAGAACTATTCCTATAAAAAGAGGCAACCTGGCTGAGCTAAAATGCAGTGTTAGCACTAGTGTTGTAGTACTCAAGACTGGTCTTAAGACCACTTTTTCATGGTCTTGGTCTTGTGTCGGACACGACCGCATTTATACTCAGCCTTGTCTCTGTCTCGGACAGTGAGGACTTGGGATTTTATTTCAAGACCATAACTTCGGGAATATCAATAAATTGCTTGTCTGATTTATTTCTTAACATCCTAACATTGATGGGATGTAAAACATCAAATGCAACCAATAATCCTAAATAAAAATGTGTTGTTGCTGTTAACGATGACGTTGCACGTTCCCACGATGGTAAGCATGGAATAGTGTTGAATAAAGATGCTTAAGTTGATTTCAGCTCTAAGTGTTTTTATGTGGGTGTTTTAATGGGAATGTGGATCTTTCAGATCAATTTAAGAAGTACCTAAGATGTTTTCCACATTTTATTGTGTGTCATGTAATGTAAACTGGTCTTGGTCTCGACTCGGTCTCAGCCCCTAAAAGTTAGCAAAACTTTTAGCACAAGTAGAGAAGAGTCAGAAGGTCAGCAGACCGACTCAGTAAGGAATAAGACAGCGCTGGTCATACCAGACCAAGTAAGGCTGTAGCAGGAAAACCCCCAAGTGTGATGAACTGAGCAGTGGTGCATTTTATTGCCTATGAAGTTACTTTTCATTTCAAGCGGGAAGAATATCTTATTATTTTGTCTTTTCAAAAGTTACATGGTTTAAGTTCCTCTTTGTTCTGACTGTTCTGAACAGATGCAGCCTTAAATTATTGCAACCTTCCTGCATCATTTCAAATGACTGCCGCTGCAGAACTCATATGTGGTCAGTGGCAACCATATTTACTTTCATCAGTCAAGCCAGTTGTTTTAAATGAGATTGTTTTCTGTTGCTGAGTAGAGTTATTTAGGAAGTAGAAATCCTTCCGACTTCTAACTTCAGGCTTCTTCTATCTACATCTTCCCTCTTCTTTCCTTCCTGTTTTCTTCAATAGCATCGCTCTCATGCTCTTTTACCTTCCTCCGGTCCTTGATCCCGTCATTCTTACAGCCACTCAACCCATCTCTCCCTCCCTTCTTCCCTCCTGCATCCCCTCCTCTCTCCCGTGCGGCTCCCCCATGCCGGTGTCATTCTGTTCCTCGGGGTAACATGGACACAGGAAGTTGGTAGATAAGCCAGGATTTGAGCTCCAGATTATCTGCCTGCCTGACTCCCTCGCTCTGCCTGCCTCCAACCCACAAGGCCAGATTGGCCTGAATCCTATTTTTAGGCTGCAGCCAAAGAGACAATCCTTTTTCCTTTCCTGGATTTTGTTTCCTTGACCACACTCGAAGAAATTTTTGCATCCTCGCCATTCCTTTGTGCACAAACCAGTCAGCACTAGTTTCACTTTAAAAGCCAAATTAACAAGAGCAAAATTTCTGCGGTCCCAAAGCACATTTGTTGAAATGACACAGAGACCTAATTAATTAGCAGTTTATTTGAAAGTGATCTCAGCTGCCTTGAATCCCCAGTAGATGCAATACTTTAATGTCTCCCACGGAGGAAACATAATTTCCACGACCAAATGATCTTTTCCACTCTCTGAAGTTTATCAGCAGCCAGACGGACAGTAGTGAAGAGTCTCAAGCCTCACGTTGTTATTTCAGTTGGTGCAGATTATTCTTTTCTGGAGTAATTTTGCTTGCTGAAGCAGCCGGGGAAATCATCTTGAACGCCGCAGGTGACAGGAGATCCCCCAGGGCAGGTTTGGGTTTGACGTGGACTGTTACTGAATTTCCATGGAGTGTGGAAGAAAAGTGAAAATGTTTGGCGAGGTGTCAAGTGTCCTCGGTTCACTCCCAGTCAGGTCAGGCTGCTCACACCTCAAACCCCGCTGACTACTCGTTGTTGATGAGAAGGGTTGAGGAAATGACTGAGCTCTTTTCAAATCATTAATTTATAAATTACCGGTCAGTGGTGTCTATGAAAGAGGCGTTACGGGGGTGTTGAGGAAACATAAATCTTGTTCAGTTGTGTCAGATGTCAGTTCTTTACCTGAACGTCCCTCTTATTGTTGCTACTGTGATCATCTCTGCTGCTCTGGCTCTGGTCGGTAACCTCAGACTTGGTGGCGCTGTCTTTTGGAGATGACAACGTGTCGGCCGCCTCGGAAACCTTCATCGTTTCGCTGTCAAGTGTATCGGACATTCTCATTGCAATGTCTTACTGGGAGATGCTGGCAAATACAGAGAACCTGAAAGAGAAGAATATATATAAGTCTGTGAGGGTGATTTTCTCGGACAAAGTTACAAGAAAAAGGTGACGTTGGTTGCAAGTTAGGATGAGAGGCTGCACAGGTTGAATTTCTCCATGATTATTATTGTTTTATTCAAGTTTCAAAGCCTCGAACAACAGGAACATACGAATGAAAAACCACAGAAAATTCTACAAGTTTTTCGTTAAAAAGCATATACCAATAATTCACTTATTCGCTAGTTGGAGCTCATTTTGCCAATTCAGAATGAAACATCTCAAAAGGCATGAGGTAAAGATGAATGCATGAGCAGCATTCTGACAATATACAGTAGAGTGAAAACACGGAGAATCTGGGTCCAGTGGCTGTGGAGGCCTGACGTCCTTTGTCCTCAACCTTCTTCGCTAAACTGTAAAAGAAGCAGTTCACGTCACTAACTTTATCAACATAACATCAATTTATGTATTTATTAAATTGTACTACATTAGTACTGATTTATAATATGCAGTCTATATATGAGGTGTATTACTATGGCATAAAGGTCCTTAACAGTACAATAATAGAAGGAAATAAAACTTGACATGTAGAAAGCTGATCATCCATTAACTTACTTGTTCACACTCGATCCTTTGAAAACAGGCCCACAGCGAAGCTCCTGCTCTCCATCCGTTATGAGTTCCCTATTTTTGTTTGAGGAGTGTTTAGCAAAGACCGTTTACCCGTCTCTGATTTTATTTTATCAGAGGAAGCTTCAGTGCTGCAGAGGTAACAACAGTGACTCGCCGCACGTGTAAGGAGGCTCATTTCCCATGGAACAGCCTAACAACCATTTACAGTTGTTATAGCAGCAGCGACACTGGTGTGACTAATAACATTAACATCTAAATGGAGTTCAGCCTATCATTAACGTCATTCGTTACATCTGTGTTTGACAACTTGAACTCAATGTACGGCGTGACAAAGATCTATGAGGTAGCAGGCAGGACGAGGGGCAGTTTGTGTCATCAGTCATTACTTTCTGTCTGTGCCGTCTCGCAGCTCTGCAGCTGTTCAGCTAGAGACAATGGACATGACTGGACAAGACACAGTGGGGGTGGGGTTGCACAGTTTGCTCCTGCGAGATCAAACACCTTCAGATTACATTGCGCCTCCACTTGGGCCCAAAGGAGAAAACTTTGACATCAGTGTTTCGCGGTTTATTGTAAAGTCAGTGTGGTCAAAAAAATGACACAAACCCTCCTCCTCTATAATGTAAAGGTTTGTTTATTGTTAATACTGATTTAGTATTAAACTTAATTTGGTATTTCAAAAATGTAACATAAAAAAGGTCTATATTTATTATCAACAAAAATGTGGAATAGCTTAAATAATTTAAAATTGTATGATGTATGTAATTAAATTGTGTTTTTATTTTATTAACATCCCAAAAGGCAAAGTTTCTAATACTAATTGGTTTGGATTTTGGTTGCTTTAACAACTACAGTTAAAACATAGAACATGGAGACTTTTTGGGTTGATATCAGAAGAGTAAAAAACATTATTTTCAAAATAAAAGAACTCTAAATTATTGCCAATCTCGCACCTATGGTCCTTTGCAGGAAGTATCTGTGTAATTCAATGACCTCCCTATGTTGAAGTCATGGCGCGAGTTCATCCTGCTGATATGCCCCAATTATGCAGCCAGGCCCCATGCAGCCTAACACACACACACACACACACACACACAGAAACATGTATATGCACAAGAAGGGAGGGCTGACATCTGGTACATGAGAGCTATGATTAATAGGTTAATTAGAAACGGGCTCATCAAATTCACTTTGCACATCAAAACTGGATCCACACATGACAGCACTTACGCTGTGCTTGAGTGTGTACGTGACTGGCTGCGTGTGTGTTCCAGCCTGTGCCAAATCAGCGGGGGCCTCAACCTATTTGCCCGGCAGTGATCAGAGCCATTTTCCTATCTGATCGCTTGAGCAGCAAAAGCGGCTGGCTGAGACTTGATTGTTTATCTCCGTCCCAAAAGAGCTGAGGCAGCGAGCGGGTAGCCGCTCTCTTTAAAAAGGTGGCATCCAATTCCTCTATGTCAGAGTAATTGACTTCAAGTGAGGTCCGCTGCTCTCCCGAGCTCTTCTGCCAGGCAAATGTACCGCTAACCCAGTGCTGCGCGAGGCTAAGAGGTTAGCTCAAATTTAGCTGGGCACTGGAGAGGCTGATGTTGAATTTCAATGAGCTGTCAAAGGTTTGACAAAAGCAAGGCCGGCTGCTGCTTTACATTATTTTTACATTCTGAAGAAAAACAGCTCAATACTCCAGAGTGCTGTGCACACCTTTGAATATTTATTGTCTGTTGCTGACATTTTGATGAGTGAAGTCTCTTGAGTCGCTCTGTTGAAGATTTGCAATATTGGACAGATATTTTCAAGAGCCGGGCTTCTGATGGATGGCTATTTTGTCCCTCACCGAATCCTTCATTCTTCCAAACACATTTCATCATGGGACTGGAGTGTAGGACTAAATTTGGCTTAAGATTTTGATGCATTCAAAATTTCACCGTCTCGTCTCTCATGGCTGATGTAATTGCACTGTGTGCCTGTTTAGTATCCCTGATGTTTTGACTGCATAAGTAATATGGATCATCATTAGATCCTTAGTGTGACATTAAGGAAACGTCTGGGAATTTAGGGAGTAGCAAATTGCTCTCTTATGAGTGAGACTGAAAATACAAGTCACCATATTTTGATCATTCATATTCATATATATCTCTCCCCCTAATTATTGCAGTAGTGCTGCAACTAATGATTCTTGATCAATCTGTTGATTATCTTCTCGATTAATCAAGTTGTTGTTTGGTCTATAAAATGTCAGAAAATGGTGAAAAACGTTGGTCAGTGTTTCCAAAAGCTCACGATGGTGTCCTCAATGCATTGGTCTGTGCATAACCCAAAGAAATTTTGTTTAATATCATAGAGGAGTAAAGAAACCGATTAATCGATTATCCAAATAGTTTGAAGTCCACAGCTAATCGATTAATTGTTGCAGCTCTATATTGCAGTCGTGGATAATCCACTAAATGTAATGACACCTAATTGCTTTCATCAGCAACCGTTGTGCTTTCTTACAGCTCCACAGGTTAAATCTTTACTTACTTTAAAAATACTTAATTACACTGTACAAAGGCATTCCATTAGGTTTGATATTAATATAAATGTTTAAATACAGAGTTTTACTGTAGCTTATTGAGTTCGAAATAGAGGGTTGGCTGCCTGAGATTACATCAGAAAGGTAAAAAATAACATGCATATGGTAAATCCATAGTACCTTTGTGAGAACACACAATGTTTCTAGAAAGAGTACTTAGTGTTACTACACTAGTCTAATGACAGAGACGTAATGTTATGGCTACCTCCACATGGTGCAAGTGTTAATGTAATAGATACACTAGCTCAAAAAGAAATGCAGAGAAATAAGTTAAAATATGTGTTTATTCAGGTATCCGTTGTTTTTGCTGGACATTACATTACTGCACTATTTTACTGATAACATTTTACCATCAGTGGGAAAGGGTGCTTTGGGTGAATAAGATTAGGGCAAAACAAGAGTATCATGTCAGAATAACAGGAAATTGTTTATTTATAATGTTTTAATGAAAGTGTAAACTGGTGAGTCAGTATCTGAATAAATGCGTCATATTATGGATGTTAAAAGGAAATCAATGTTGAGCTGTATGTTTTTAAACACAAACACCATTTGACATAGCGAAATTAGTTAAATTGCAATTCTTTTGACAAGAACAACAGTGGAAAGGTAAATATAACAAGTGTGAACAGTCTTGTTTCAGTTGGACTGAAAAATCCCATCTCAAACAAAGCATCTGAGCAAAGTGATAAAACGTTACAATGTACCCTGCCACATTCTGGTTAAGTGACTCATTTGTGACTAAGGCTATAATTACTCATCAGCTCATGATCTAATATTTAGTAGGCATGTAACACATCGGAAACCAAGCTGCGGTTCCGTCTTCCATTTTGAAAGAGGTGGAGAATTTGCGCCACCAACTGTTTATACCGATGAACCAACTCCTGATATTCATATAACAGTAGCCATTCTTGCAGATTTCCTGAAATTTAATTAAAATGTGCTCTACATTTGGATTGAACCCTGACTTTTCTAGAGTATCTTCCCAGACTGACTATTCTTGTCAAAGAGAAATAAACAGGGGACGTACTTGTTGGGTAGCCAGTGGTGGTTGTGGTGAAGGAGGACGTGGCTGGTGAAGTCGATGAGGCTGAGCCTACCGATGCCATTCGAGACTTCTTTGCCCATGTCTGCTTCAGCTGCTCTGAACAGCAACCGGGGCCTCCGACACCCTCATGACCCCTGCTGACCTGCAACCGAGAGAGGCACGGGGTTAGCGCTGCGGTGTTAGGGGTGAGAGGGGTCAGGGGTTAGGAGCGGCGGACTGGCAGCAGTCAGGATGTCAGCAACTCTAAAATATTTGTGTGGTCGGAGTACAAAGTAAAAACGTGGCTGAGTGTGTATTTCGGGGCCTATGCGTGCCGATGCGCCATAAATAATGGATGAGCACAGAGATGGGAGTGCGGCGGAGGCAACAGGAGAAGGCACCCCTGCCAGCCTCGTAAAAACCATGCATTAGGAATTCAGAGAGCAGTGGGGGGAAGATAGCATTTCTCAGACGAAAGTCCTCTGCCATTTGGTGGCACATACATTTCAAATCAGCTGGCGTACAATCTCTATTTTCCAGCAAATTCCTTTCAAGCTGAACTACAGGATGACACCGGTTGGGCAGGGCAGATATCTGAAAACGCAAACAACAACAGGGCTGAAAAATATTGACATATTGGAGGGAAAGTCTTTTGTGATGCAGGAAAAAAAAAAAAAAGCCATTTCCAGATTTCTTGCTAAATCAGTATTTTCCTTTGCACTTCACTTGAGTATTCGGTTAGCTATGTTGCTCCTCCACAGAGTGACAATCTGATTAGTTCTTTGCTGTATTGACTGCAGTTGGTCATAGTTGCTAAATTAGGATGATAAACATCGTGTGGTCTATGAAATGTCAGAAAATAGGAAATTATGTCGGTCATTTTCACTAACACCCAAGGTGACACCTTTCAATGCCTTGTTTTCAACCACCAGCAGTCCAAAACCCAAAGATAACCAGTTTACAATGATAGCGAACTAGAGCCAAAGAGAAACAATTAATCCACTAATCAATTACTTGTTTCAGCTCTCCATCAGATTCCTTAATGCTGTACATTCCCTTACAGCGACGTATAGGCTGTAGAAGACCCTTGCTCTGGCTTTTCATTGTCTCCCTGCATTGCTCTCGGCCTCTCCCTCCTCCCCTAATCTCCGTCTCAGTGAGCGGGCGAGGTGCCACGCTGACTCTGGCACCCAGTGGTGCCAAGGCCTGGCTGCTGCTACCCAACGCGGTCTTGGTGAAGCCTCCGTGCCAGCCAAAAAAGGTCAAGTGGAATCCCTGCTTGCTTCAAAATCTCCCTTCTCACGCCACCTCGGGCTGAGATGACGATGGGTGGGAGCGACGTGCAGTGGAAGAGTCGCCATTTGGTGCATTGCTTTAGATCAAACTGCCCAACCAACCGGTGCCCTAAACTGGACTACTTAATGATATTTAGTGTTGGTACAACCCCACAACTCTCAGTAGTAGCTTGAAATCTGATTTTTCTATTTGACATTTTAGCAAATTTGTGAGGAAAATGTCCCCTTCAGCCTGTAGCATTTCTCCCTGGCATTAGTATGAGGCCCAAGGCAGGATCCATTCATTCAACAATGATGAATGGATCCTGCCTATGATTATTTACATCTGGAGAGTACACAACCTAGTGTATGCAGTTTGTAGCTAAGACATCTATCACTGCATGTTGGTCATCTTAACACCTCTCCTCTCAATAGCCTATATCTATTTTCCCCCTCTTGTTCCCAGCTGCTCTTATCTTTACCCTTCTGCTCTTCTTTTTGCCTCTTATCTCTTTTCTAAATGCACCCTGCACTTTTTAACATGGTCATTCTGCTGTGACAGGGTATCATCTCAGTGCCGGGGCTCTAGATTCGGCCCTTCTTGCTCGTAGCTGAAGGCAGAAGTTGTGCCAATTCAAGCCGTTGCGAACAGGAGTGCCAGCTAAATGCCTGAAATGGAAAAATGTGGAGCCTGTTCTGTAATTCAGTGCTGGGTCCTGCAGCTATCACTCACACACACACACACACACACACACACACACACACACACAGAGTAAATGTTGCTCTGACAGCGGTATGGCTGAGTCTGGCCATGGGTGCTCTAGGTTTTATGACCAGAGCTGCTGAGTGGGCTTCAGGACTTTACACTGAGCCTGTATGTGTATGTGTGTGTGTGTCCGTCTGTGTGTGTGTGTCTGTGTGTGTGCGCAGCATTGCGGCGGCAGTCATATGAATGCTAATGGCGCAAACAATGCGCACCCTGACATTTTTTTTTTATGACAGACACAGATCGGGAAACATCACAGTTCAAATGGTGCTCAACATTTTCTATGAGAACTTAGCACCGCAAAACACCCGCACACACAAACACACACACTTGCAAGCAGCAGTGAACTTGTAGAGTCTGCTTGTGCGTCCTCCCATATTGTGCTGTAGCTGACAGGGAGTGGTTCATTGGTATTACAGTCGCCGCAGAGCGCAGCATCCTTTAAGAGGCTCCCTTAGGCATCGTTCAGTGTCACACCACCTTTATCGCCATGCCCGATGGAACATCAGCAACCTCACACACACACACACACACACACACGAATGAGACTCAAACCTGCACATCTGCACACAATCAGAGCACAAATGCATCCATGTATTAAAATGCAGATCTGCTCAGTTAGACCGATACCTAAAAAGAAGAAAACTCAAAGATGCCAATGAAACCAACAGAATTTGATTCGTCCAACAGCTAGATATGCACACATACAAATACACATTATCCGCTGCACATATATTGAAATTAATTCTCAAAAAAAAAAAAAAAAAAAAACATAGTGGGGGTCATAAGAGTGGCCGTTAACTGAGCCGAGTTAATCATACCACCAGGCTCTTAACGGACTACTCCTACGCACAATTATGTTCGATGGCAAGCTAATGAGACATTTTTCAATCACTGTGATGGCACGCACACACAAGAACAGGAGAGCGAGCACACTCCAGCATACTTATTTAATGTCCCCTTCACACAAACACACACCTGCTTCTATCTCTTGCAAAGGCTGACCTTTCCCTCCCACGCCTCCGCTCTGTTCGGCTCTGTGTGGATCAGGGCTCTTGTCTGGGCTATAACCAGCTCAACTGGAGGTGAAGGACCCTCAATCCCTCCCTCTATCTGCTACTCCATCCCTGGCTCTATTCTCGGGTATAGCTGCCGAGGAGGTGAGTCAAACACAAGGCGGAAAAGAACAAGCCATCACCATCTCAAGCTTCTGCGCGATCACAAAGAAAAAGCCACCGATGATTTCGAAGCGCCCGAGCATCTTTCTGCATGCGGTCACAGATTACATGTTGAACAATAATTCATGCTTTATTGCTGCTGATGAGCTTTTTGCAAGTGTCACATAAAAAGAATAACAGTGGGAGCGGTGCCAGACAGCTGGGATATTGTCTGCAGAGATGTAAAATGCTAAACAGAGCTCTATTCATTGGAGCATTGTGCGGAAAAAAGCAGAGAGACAAATATAAAGGCAGTGCCATGTCTGAAGGCAACAGCTGTGTCACCTGCTTGCCATTTTTGAGTTAAAAATGACAGGTTATGCTTGGCTGATTTCTAAAATTGTAGACACAAAACACAGCAAGTGCAGCTAAACATTCGACTGCTATGCAATTAATTTCCGACTTCCAAACAAACCAACAAAAAGACGGATTTTGAATTTATCAGCTTTGGTAGAGTGCAGGACATGCACCCTGGCTAATAAAATCAGACTTCAAATAAACAGTTAATTAGGTTGCTAATGCTGGTTTGCACTCATTGGCACTGCAATAAAATTGATTTCAGTGTTTTGCTAAACTGAGTAACTAATCTCCCATTTTCTAGCAATTTCTGCTAATTGCAAAGCAAGGAAAGCACTGACAGGGGAGCAGTATAATTGGACCAGAAAACGATTAGTGTAAAGCTTATGAAATTATATCACTTTCATACACTGCTTGCCTCAATTTCAGGGCAACTGAGGCAGTGTCAGTTTAAGAAACTGTCTGTAATAGCTGAACTGAATGAACAGGAAAAAAAACAAAAGAAAAAAACAAAACATAAAAAGGCACAAATGAGGCTCTAATTGCGCTGCTCGCTCTGCCTCCAGGTCGCATAAGGTGGTGCGGCGCAGCAGAGGCGCAGTCCGCCAGCGTTAATAAATTAAATCCACAGCAGAGCATGTAGGTAATCCATTACCTATCCCATAGGATAGTTTCCAGGGAAAATCAATCTAAGCAATTAGAGGTGAAACAATGAACAAAGAAAACTAACATGCAAGTCTAGCAGTTTTGTTCTACGGAGCCATATGAGAGGAGAATAACTCAAACAGTCCGCCAGAGTCATTAAAAGTCCATTTGCAGACAACACCTGCAGAACAAATACGGGAAGCGGGGAGATAGAGGATGAGCTGGGCTGGAGAACAGAGCAGAGCGAAGCCTCTTGTTGGCTGATCTTGGTTAATTATCCTCATAATGAAAAGCAGAAGCAACACTGGCAAACCAGCGTGGAGATTTAGAAAGCTCTGGCTCAGCCCGCTGAGTAACACGCCACAGACAGCACACCAAATCTCATGTTGCGCTTAGTTTAACCAGCCAAAGAAGAAGACTGCACATTTGCTTACCGAGTGCCGCCACGCACTGATTAAAGAAACAGAAAAGCTGATGCAGAAGAGATTTTTAACATGGATTAACATGTTGTCGGTTTTTAAAACATAAATGAAGACACTTTATGTGACAATAAACAGCAAATAAAAAAAAATCTGCCTTGAAAGGTACATTACAAAAAAAATGTCAGAGAAGCTGAAAAAAATAAAATAAAATAAAGTTCAAGAAACATGAACAAGAAATCAGAAAAGGCATGTGAGGTTCATGCCCGAAGTGGCTTGAAGCTGCAGCACCCTACCTGCCCGGCAGCTCTGCCCTCCATCCCTTCTGCTACTCGGCCGTTTAGTTTCCATTGTACAGGAGGCACAATCTGCTGGAGAGGAGGCTGGAGTCGCCTCCCAGCTCGCTCCTCGGCAGCTGCCTGCTGCCTCCTGTTCGCTCGCTCGACTGAGTGAGAGTGTAAGACGGTGGAGAGGGGAGTGTAAAGGGAGAGGGCGAGTGGGTGTCACAAAGAGAGAGAGAGAGAGGTGGGGGGAGGAGAGAGGGAGAGTGCTATGCGAGCACAAGTCTACCTGCCACAACCCATCAAGCCAGCCAGCCTTGGAGACAGCGCCAAATCAACAGCTGGCCCCTGTGTGATGTCAGAGCCTCAACAGCCAGTCACGGCAGCCGAGGCCGGCCTGCTCTACCGAGCGCCGACTGAACCAAAGTCACCGGCTAAATGGGGCTCTTCATTAGCTACTCTGCTTTAGGATGGAGGCGGAGGTAAGAGGAGGAGGTGGTGGAGGAGAAAAGGGCAGTCAGGGACATGGGATAGATGGAAGGAGACTCAGAGGGAGAGGAAGATGAGAAGATGAGGGTGGGAGGTAGAGCGGTAAGAGAAAAGGGCGAAGAAAGGAGCACATAGGTGCTGAAAAGAAAACGAAGGAGATAGAGAGAAGGCAAACAGGGGAGGAGGAGAGGATAGGGGACAGGATCGACACGTCTGTAGCCAGCTAGGTGCTCAAAGACCAGGTGGAGAGCCGATGGGGAGGCGCTAGCCGCTGAGAGGCCGAGCTGTTCACTGGGCTACCTTCCCATTAAAGCTGGCACCCTGCTTTTCCACACAAGAAGACAAGGCTACAGCTAATCCCACTGACTTAGAGAGAGCCGCCACCTGAAATACCACCCATTACCGAAACAGAAAAGTGAAATGCTGCAATAAAATATTTTGCTAAAAGCAAATTTAGGATAAGCTTACTGGTAGGATCAGCTAGAAAACAATACACTGCCTGCATAAGGAAGAAGAGCAGCCGCATGTGCATGATCAAACCGCACCCCTCCTCTATTTCATCTTATGATTTTAGAGGATTTAATAGGAAAAAACAATAAGGGGTCATAGCTTCCAGCGGTATTCTTACACTTGGATTGTTTATATCATTAAAGATCAAGCATTCTGTCTTCTCTGTACAATGCAACAAAAGATAGCACGGACGGTGATAATTGAGCTCTGAAAATGTCTACTTCATAAAAGCACTGAGTGAGTGACGGGCTGTCAAAGGCATAGAAAGTCACAAACATACACACAAACCTATGCGCAGCCGGAGTCTAGACTGCCATAATGTGATTGTTTTTGTCCTTTCAGTCACTCAGACTTTAACAGCAAACACAGTGGGCGGAAAAGTTCCTGCTGTCACTTAGCAACCAACACCAGGCTGCGACAACCGATCCGATCCAATCCTGCCTCATAATTGTACCATTCGTTATGCCAGGTCTCTGAAGAATTTATTATTGTGCTTCCTTAATCCCACGAAAAGGTCACCAATTGAACAAACAATTTATGGATAGGCAGATGAATTATTTAATGGCCCAGACCAAATATTATAGGAAGGAGAGATTTCTCCCCCTGGAAGGCGATGAATTATTTAGTCATTGGGCGACATCTTTGTGGAAAGCTATTACACGGCATCCTCAACCTCAATATCTGATAATGTCATCAGCTCCAAATACGGCCTAACCTGCGTAATGAATGGTCAACCCGAGTAGCGGCTGCAGTGGCCTGAGCAGCCGCGGGTGAAACAGTTTGGGCAAACAATTATTACCATTTATTTTAAGCCTCAGAGGGGTGTGCCACAGAGTGCAGACAATCACAAGAGAGCATTTGAGCAATGACTTAGTGCCCTTTTCTTTGACTACCACACTTCGTAATGCACTACACCTCACCTAGCAGGTAAAAACAGACGTTGACATTTATCCGCAATAACCAGATCACTCTAACATGGACATACCTTGACTGAGGACTTCTAAATTAGCGCACGCAATTATCGTCACAATTTTTCAAAGACATGTGTCACACATTTTAACACACATTATATGTAGCATGTAGCTGGACAGCAGAGTTGCCAGGCCTGCAAAGATTAACACATCATCTCCACTCTTTAAAACAGCAGATGAAGGGACTGAACCAGCATCCACCCACCAGGCTCCGCTGGTACCTTAATGAGAATGTTACCATCATGATGCTCAGCATCAGTGGCAACTCGTGAGCTTTCGTTGCCATCTCCGTCCATGTCTACCAAGTCTATGAGGCGATAACTGTCTGGGTTAAAGCATTGTAATTATAGTGGGAAAGGGGTTATTTACCAAAATGAGTTGTTTGATCCATGATTTATTGCCTTTTACTAGTATAAATCTACTTCAAGTCAGGTGTTACTGTGCCTTTCTCTCTGAAAACAGCAATGGAGTTGTACTAAACTACTGTATATACACGCTCAGTGGCTTTTTAAAATCCATTTATCAACACTTTACATAAAACAAACATGAGAACCTCTAAAATGCTTGTGGTTAATTATGTGCATCCCTCATTCATTTTAATTCATATTTACAATTAATTTGTTTGCCACAAGCCTTAGAAGACTAATTTAACTGATAGTGATTGATGCATTTTATTTATGAATCCAAATACAACATTAACCCCGTTTTGCCCTTATTGCGTTAACGCTGACTTGGTTCCCTGGTATTTTATGGGGAAACTGCTCACTCGTATGTCATTTATTAATACGTGGGCTTCATCACTTAGCGTGACTTGTTTTTCTATGCTCCCATCGACCAAGAAAATGTCTCATTGCCAATCATGTTATCTACCACAACGACAAGAGACTATGATTCGTATTATGTCTAAGGAGAAGGGTGTTTACAATCAATCGAAAGCAATGCATTTTTTTTTTTTTTTGATGGATCAATAGTTAAATGCTCGTCTTCTTTAGTTTTCACTCCACAGCGAGCCCGTAACACCAGACTCCATTACAAATCTGGCAATTTTAAGATTCCCCTGGTATCGGAAAATCTACTAACCCCGGACAACATGTGACAATTCAATCTGATAATTAACCCATGAAAATAAAATTCGGCTAATAAGACATGTAAGTAAGCAACGCAACAATTCAATCAAAAGCGAATTTATTGAAAAGGCTAACAGTTAACCTTAGTACACACTGTTCGTTGCCGCATATTAACGTTACTGTGAGAGAAAGAGTCGAACCAGGCCTAAAAGTTATTGAATTACGCTGTATTTTTACAGCACTAATGATTTGGTTTTTCGGACGGACGCCGAAATTAAGAATGACTGCTTACACTTTAGACACGGTGTTTGTTTGCCAGGTGTGTACTTCTGCCTTAAAGCACGTTAGGAGCAACATTTTGCGTTGGATCGTGTCGGGGCTAAGCTAACGATCACCTGGCACACTGGTGGCTTGCTAACGCTTGAAAACGACCAAACACCGGGCTCGCCGCGCTGTCACGCACTAGCAGCGGAGATGTTTACTGCTAACTAGCCAACAAATCCGGTTACATTTTTTTTGTTCTCACACCGGTAACTGTTGGACAGGATACTGCAGATATCTAATGTTGCCTTACCGCTTCGGTTTAGAGTCGCTGCACAGCCGGAGTCTCTACCGCGGGTGAAGTAGCTAGCGTTAGTGGCGGAGAGAAGGAGACACGGCGGAGTCCAGCAGGCTGGGAGAGTGCGTCAGCTCCACACGTAGGGTGTTGAAAATATGTCACGTCTTGTCGTTGCTCGATTTTTTTTTTTCTTGCGTTATGGCAGCACGTTTGCACGCAGTTTGTTTGATGCATTTATCGTCTGTCTCACATATCTTTTACCACCGATGTAAAGTCTTTAAACTCTTAGATGAATTGTGATTGAATTACAGTAAAGTGACAGGAAGCTGGTCTGAATGCTCTGATAACTGCGTGCTATGGGACGCCTGGTGATATAAACAGTGTTAACCTTGGATTTTCCGCGAAGCTTTTCAATGTTTCAATTCAGTCTGCAGTTTTGAAAATACATTTGATTCCTGCCCTTTCCTCCCAGTGTCTCACCGGGGTAGGCAAACCACGCAACAAAAACAATGTGGGTTTCTGCTTTCGCTTTGCCAACACAGCAATTTTACATAATATTAGGTGCCCGAGTGCTGACCTTTTTTTATATAGTCTATGGTGCTGACCCTGACCCTGTGGGTCACGAAATCATATCAACGCTACTTGTGTCCAGGTCAGGTCTGCAGAGGAGTAAAGCTCATTAAAAGTACAATATTTATGTTTGCTTGCTAGTTTTTCCACAATAAGGTGGCTAGGCACAGAGAGTCCGACTCAACACGCGTGTGTCTCCGGTGTCAATAATTATAATAATACAAGCTAATTAGCTTACGAAAGTGAATATGCATTTCCAGTTTATGGTTTTAATAATAATACCACGAATGGTGCTTTTATTTCTGTAGGCAAGTCTCTCAACTTCCGGTTTAGGCTGCTAGCTCTAGCCGATGCTCTACACATGCTTACTTTTTCAGGTAGTAGCACCCGTTTATTAACTCAATTAAACTAAATTTGTCCTTAGTATTTTTAGTTGTTGTCGGCCCTTAACCTGCCAACTTGTTTTTTAGGTGCTTTAATATATCGCTGATGAAGCTAACGTTATATCTCTGCAAGTCATGAAGGTGGTTTTGGTGAAAAATGAACATTCAAGTGACATTTTTGGTTGTTGTTATTACAAAATAACGTTACGTCTCAAGCAGCACTTAGTCTTAGTGACTGCTTAAGAGAAGATGCATCACGCATGTGACTGAGGTTTCGATATTGTCCCGGTACAAAAATACATCAGAATCAGAAGTGTATACTAATGTTAACATTACATACCAACAACATTACATAATGTTAAACTTTTGATTTTTAACAGTAACTGTAGGCGCAGCTTGCTCTCTGACTTCTATCTGGATTACACTATTGTTACTGTTTTAGACACAACAATAATTTTGTGGGGTTGTAAGTAGTCCCATACAACTAATTACATGTGAAGCAAAACGCCTACTTCCTCTTATAACACCTCTAACTCCTAACCTCTAACATGCACGTCCTGTGCTCTTCTTCTTCTATCCCCTACAATTATCTTCTATTGATTGCACTTTTTGTTAACTCTTACTTCCGTCCCTAGGTATTTACCCCATTGATGGGATATGTACTATGAGCTCTTACTAGTATTTATTGCTGCTCTTACTAGTATGTATTGTCAGTTGTAGATCTGTATTTGATGCTCTGTTTATGCTTATATGTTGTTCCTCAAATGTAAGTCGCTTTGGATAACAGCATCTGCCAAATGTGTAAATGTAAATGTGTGCCAGGTGAGGCAACACAAAAAAAGATGCCGTTGCTGTAATTGGGAGGGCAACTTCTACCATCTCACCTGAAATTCTGACTTTCTCTATTCTGCGTTATCCGGCTTCCAATAATGGTAGTCCTGTCACTGCTAGTAGGCAGCTTCTCCCCATTATTATAAAATACACTTAGATGTATTTATGTATGTAGATCAATTTAATGGTTTTTTTTTCCCACCCTAAAATAAGAGCCGGCTGACTGAGCAAGGACCGAGAAACTGATGAGGACTTACTAATGGAAATGGATGATAATCGCCTACAGACCTCTGGCTGTGACACAAGATGGTCACAGCAACTGTCAGGCCTTCCTCACAAGCTCCTGCAGCGCCTGATGCCTTTCCAAAGGGAGGGAGTGGAGTTTGCTTTATCTAAGAATGGACGGTAAGCAGTGCTGCTGCTCGGTCAGTTACATCAAAGGCTTTTTGTGTTCTGTGTTGAGAGACATCTTCGAAACAGCATTCCAACATACACTATTTAAAGTCTTCTGCAGTGGGTAAATATTGATTTACTGCTATGAAGATGCTTTCAACTCAAATCTATTGTCTTAGCATTTCATAGAAGGATGGAAGTTGCTTCTTGTTTCTTAGAATCTTCACACATTGGTCACCACCAATTACAGTTAGAGGCAAGGTGTTTAGGAAATGTAAACTTAAACTTTAGCTGAACGCCAGCCACTTTGTTCACAAGACACAATAACAGGATAGTGGTATGCTAAAATGAAAATGCTAGAATGTAGCTTTAAAGTTGTAAGATGTGAAGACCCATAAAGTCAGTAAACTGACACACTTACACAGCGATCTACCTAAAGTTGGCTAACATTAGCTAAAGTTATCCACCACAAGCCACTGGTCATACCAGACCAAGTTAGGGTGTAGCAGCCAAACTCCTGAGTGTGTTGAATTAAGCAGTGCTATGTTTTATTGTGTATAAGTTCAACATATTGTTTGTAAGAGGAAGAATATGTTGTTTCTTCTTTCAAAAGTTGCATAGTGTCACTTTAAAGATATCTTGTGGTGTTTCAGATCACTTTTAGCCAAATGGAGCAATGTTTTTAAGAGTGGATCCCTGTTTTACATACCAGGACGCGCATGTATGCATGCATTTTGGGTGCTGTGACATAGAGTCCTGCTGATGGTTGGTAGTCGCAGCATGCCAAGAAATGTAGCAATGCACCAACAAAGGCAAACAAGACTGCTAACAAACAAACATGGATGTAAACAATGTAGGTTTCAAAATCTTCCAACATTCGCCTCTACAATTGTTGTGTTCACAATGCGTTTTGGTGAGAAACAATGAGTGTAAACATAACTTATCACAGGGTACCTTTTTAGCTATCCATAAATCCTGCAAGGCATCATTAATCAGCAACTCAAAATGCACATATTTACTAACCCATGCAGTCTGTGATTCTGTACTAAATAATATAAAAGTTCTGTTGTCACTGATATGTATAATTTTTCCTGATGAAGATGTTCAACTTGTTTCCAGACTTGACAGTAAAACCTAATTTGCGCAGATGAGCAGATCTCTTGTACAACACATTTCCCTCTCTGTTGCTACATCAGTGAGTCCAATAGGATGGCATGCCTATGTAGATAATTTGCCTAATGGAGCTTTAAAATAGGCAGTCCCAAACCTCAAATTTCCAGCCAAGCTGCAATATGTTATGATGGCTCAAGAAGCAAGTAAAAAGGCTAGAGTGTTTGTGAATATACGAGGTCAGCAAGAGTCCAGGGTGTATCTTTGAAAACAATTACCAGTCTGTGGGAAGTTTCTCAGTTGCCCTCAAGTCTATCCGTGTTTGGCTGTGTTGAGCATTAGCAGCAGGAACGGGCCAGGACTTCCCTCCTCCCCGACCAGTCAATGCACACCGGGGTTCTCGGGAAGGTCAGCACAGGGGGAGCCAATCTGAGCGCCGCAGCTGTGATGCGGAGCGGCCATATTGATTCAGGGATACTGGAAGGCACTGCTTTGTTACACGGGTGGGTCAGTAGTCAATTGGCTCTCGCTGCACGGTGTGGACAGTTACCTCAGTCAATTGGCATCAGTGTGACAGTAAGAGCAGCGCGGGCAGTTCTTCTCTCCGGAGACGAGCAGAAGTGGCATTCGTGAATGCGCTGATTGTCATACATGTCGAGTTGAAGCTGTATCTTCCATAGAAACCTGGTTTGTTTTTTTCTCTTCCTGAAGAATGTCATTAAGCCCTGCCTTTAATAAGCGGGTCAAGTCTTCACTCCAAGCAAGGCTTTTGAACCCGGCCATGTAGAATGTCTCAATAGATTTTAGAGGCAAGCCTCACATTCAGATAAAAATAGCAGAAGAATTGGTGGCTTCGTACGCTTTCTGTTTTAAACTGAATGTGACATTATAGTTAATGGCTAAATAGGTTCTTGTCAGTTTATGATAACAGTGGCAGACTTACCACTGGAAATTTGTAGTATTTTTTTTAAACAATAGATCTTTGATAGACAACCATCGATTTTTATCTGCTGAAACTGTCGCTGTCAGATTTGTTTAACTATGCTAGCTAGCTCATTTAGCTAATGATGCATAAACTCTAAAAGCAACTAGGACCAGCTTCCACATAGTGTAACAGGATGTGTTCTTTGTTCTTAAAAGTAACGCTCAGTTACTACACGGTAAATAGCTAGTTAGCCAGACATGCTAACATGTTACTAACATAGTAGTGTCATGCATTAGCATTAAAATATGAGGCCATTTTAAACAACCATCTTCTCCACTTCTTTCATCCACAAGTGTGTGCATTCACACACGGACAGTAGAGATGATTACAAGCTAAAAATTATACTTTTATTGACCATAATCTCGATGCCTCTGTGAATTTGAGGCACCCTGCTGTTCTTTAATTGTTCATTCAATATCCTTGAAAAGGGCCTCGAATTAAAGCAGCAGTTTCTTTATTTTTATTTTTTTAACTGATACTCAACAGAGACTCATTGCAGAAGAGACAGAAATAACAATATTTCTAAGTACAAGAGCCTGAATAGACCAGAATGCACTGCAGCTGCAGACTTATCTATAACATTTCTGAGAAATGTAGGATATCACTACCTGAAGTGGAACCAGACGAGGTGGGCTGTCAGACAAAAAAATAAATGGCAGCCCTTCATTATAAAATAGCTCCTGAAATGCAATGAACATCACAGATTGATGTTGGCTATCTATCAGTGTGGGAGGATCCGTGGGCGGAATTTTCCTTTAAATCTCATAGTCGTCTTTTCACATCCAGAGCATCAAGAGCACCGAACCAAAACATCAAATGTTGTTGCAATTCAAATACTTATGGAGCCTGCTGTGTCGGTCTGTGTAGGAGGGTGAG